CACACCTGACCGACGCTAATTGGACAATAAATCAATTCTTTCCCGGTTCTTATTGGCGAATCGTGGCATTCCAATATTGAAAATTTGGCCGAGCGATATTGACAACATGATAAAAACAATACGGCGGACATATCTTTTTCTTTTGTGTTCATCTTTGAGCTCCCGGTTCTTGTTAAGGCTGAATCGAGTTATGTTTTGTTTTTGTCGGGCAATGTCTTATCGCGGTTAGACAATTTGTTTTTCGGTCCTCGTTATTGAATTATTAATATTGATATTGGTTTGTTGTCTCGATGTGACAAGTGGGAGAAAACAGTTCTGTTAATTTTGTCTATTGAAATGAGAAAATGTTTTTTTTTTTTAATATTAATATGCAGCATCGTTCATTAGTTGCAGGGGTTATTAACAAAACGGAACGCGCTAAGCTAATCCGGGAGCGCTCAGAGTGTAATTAAATTCTGAGAACAAGCGAGCTATTAAAGCGAAACGGTAGCTGGACTCCATTACGAAACGGAACGTGAATAATTATTTCGTTCCCGCGTTTTTTTTTTCTTTTCAATTCGTTTTTCGAGAGTTCGCTAATGTACCGTCGCCGTCCTTTGGCACGAAATCTCGTAAAACCACATTCAATTGCTATCGGTATTCACTTAACGAACTGATTAGTTTTCGAATTGTGTTTAATTTTATTACGATAACGCACATAGCCTACCGCATGATCAATAATAAATATTTGCAGTTCAGAAACAAACAACAAACTCTTAAATCGCATACCGAATTAACAATTAATTTTTTTTTTTTATCATTATTATACTGGTCAAAGTGAATATATTGAAATGATTGTACTGTTATCGATTCTTGATGCGTGTGCAAATTTTCTTGTTAGACGTTCTCAGACGTCTTGAAGTCTGTGAAAATGACGTTCAAAGGTTCCGTTACATACCAAAAAACAAATTCATACTGAACTAACAAAAGCGTGCTAAAATACTTTCAATATTCTACTAAATGTGCAAATCAAAATAATGTAAAACAAGTTCTATAAAACGAAGTTCCGGATTAACAAAACGAGACTGTATATCCTGATTTCGTTTGACATTGTTGTAGTCTGAAGTTTAAAAAAAAAAGAACCAAATTTTTTTGGCTAGCCAGACCACCGTGGCATTCAAATGAGGCATATCATTAGCCTCGCATAAACAATGTAGTAAAATGACAGGTAGTAAAGCCTGTCACATCCATCGTATAATGTTATTCATGTTTGTTATCGTTCTACGCATCTACGTTCTTACTGTTAACATGTATTTTGACAGATGACATAAGTTTGGCGCCATATCACATGTTTGTCATCTCGTCTACCGTTGAATACAATTTAGATGCAATAATAAGCTCCCCGTCTTACGTTAGGTTGCTGTCTCAATCGAAACTATTAACTTTACCGGAAAAAAAGTTTTTTTACCTTTCATTTGAGAGGCGACCGAATTAGTTTTGTTAGAACTTAAGGTCTGATAGAAAATGCTGTTTGACTTTTATGAACAGCATAAAGCAATGAAAAAAGCAACCTACACCAGTGCGCCTAAAAATCATTTAAGTCTATAGATAAAATGGCAGAGGAGTGCCGTTGTCCACGCAAAAACTAGATAACTTTCATCATCATCATCATTTCAGCCTATCGCCGTCCACTGCTGAACATAGGCCTCTCCAATAGATTTCCAGTGCGACCGGTCCATTGCCACCTGCATCCAACGAGACCCAGCGCTTTTTACTAGGTCGTCGGTCCATCTAGTAGGTGGCCGTCCCACACTGCGCTTGCCAGTACGTGGTCGCCACTCCAGGATCTTTCTGCCCCATCGACCGTCCTCTCTTCGTGCTTTAAGATAACTTTATATAAAAAAAAACTTAGACTTGGCCTAATCTAAAAAAACAACAATGCAAACTTAACAGAGTTTTAAGAAACTATGCGCATTGACATAATAAATATTTTTAATAGCGTCTTGATTATGTCATATGGTTTAATATAAAAATCGATTTTACAAGCAAGTACCTGCGTATGTTGGTGCTAAGAATGCCCAATGACTATTTAACCTTGTTCAAAAATCTGTAAGCTAACTGTCTAAATTTAAAAGCGTTGCGTGTGACACCCACCCATTTTTGATTAAGTAAGAATAGTACATCAACATAATGGATTCTTGTTTTCGATTCGAAATTGTATTCGTATACCGCGACTTGTTACTCACAATATTACTAGATTTAAAAACTGGCAAAATTTTACTGTATTAATAATTTTCAATGTATTATCTTTATTAAATAGATGGTTAAAAATATAAAAAAAAAGTGAAAATATACACGACTATTACGTAAATATCTACATATAAAATTTAATAAAATATAGTTTATGGATCCGAAAAGTCCTCGTTGCCTAAATGATAAAGCGCTTGGTGTATTCAGATTGAGCGATGCGACTGACCAATGTTCAAATCCCGATGGCAGCTATTCGTGCGAACAACTTTGATATTGGAAAAGCGTTTCGAACTTTAATCACGCGGAACTTTAGGAAGTACGCACACAATCTTTCATTTGACCGAATTTTATTAGTAGATCGCGGCGCCGACCAATTTGCGTACTGGATAGCGACAGGGCGCCCAGAATGCTAAAATTTGCATAATAACTGGTGGTACGGCGTTTTGTGAGCCCATACGAGTAGGCCCACTACTCTGCCTCTTTCTGCCGTGAAGTAATAATGCATTTCAATTTGAAGGGTGAAGCAGCTGTGATACTGTAAAAACTGAGACCTCAGAACTTATGTGTCAAGATGGGTGGCGGCATTTACGTTGTATATGTCTATGGGCTATAGTAACCACTTAACACCGAGTGGACCGTGAGTTCGTGATTGTGATCCAGCAGAGCGATAATTAAAAAGAGCAACATACACGCTTTGGCCGTGATGAAAAGAATGAATGTTTTGTAAAGTGTCACCTAGTCAGGAAAGGATAATTTACTCAACTTGTAACGGGAGATTTTGTTTAATAATAATATCCATCATTATTTTATAAGAGCACGGACAACTTCTTTGTTTAAAATCACTCTCAGAACCATTCATATTTTTCTGTACAGCGTAACAGTACATACCTATTCGAATACTTTTTTTTTATTTATTGCTTAGCTGACAGACTTGATGAAATTTTATCAATTAGGTACATTTTTCTTTTTCTTTTTTGGGCTTTGACCACGGAACTCTAAAAAAAGGTTGTAGCTTAAATTTTCCAAGAATGTAAACTTAACGTATTTCCGATAACATCGAAGCACGAGTCAAAATAGATGAGCGGTAGACGAATGATGTATTTGTCGGCGCGCGGAACTCTCGGAATGCGGCTTTGACAAATAATGTATGGTCGACATTGCGTGACACCTGTCTGGACACGATTTTGTTACAATCAATTTTATTAAGTGGGACATTACATTTGTTTACACCGGACACAATAATGATTAGTTGAAACTAGAATGATCTATGCGTACGAAATTCCGGCGTAGGTACGAAACACACGATAAAGTGTGTTTAAATTTTCTGTACAAGAATCCTTTGTATGCTGATCGTCGTCGTGGCCTAATTGATAGGACACCCTGTACAATCGTATCAAGCGGTGTACCGGTGTTCGAATCTCGCAGACAACTAATTTTATTAATCAATTAAGTACTTAACGTAATTGACTTCCACGCTGAAGGAATAACATCTTGTAATAAAAATCAAACCCGCAAAATTATAAATTGCGTAATTACCGGTAGTAGGACAACTTGTGAGTCCCCACGAGTAGGTACCACCGCCCTACCTATTTCTGCCGTGAAGTAGTAATGGTTTTCGGTTTGAAGGGTGGTGCAGCCGTTGTACTCTAAAAACTGAGACCATTGAACTCATGTCTCGACATGGGTGGCCGCATTTACGTTGTAGATGTCTTGGGCTCCGGTAGCCACTTAACACCAGGTAAGCCGTGAGCTCGTCCACACACCTAAGCAATAAAGATATAAAATAAATATAATAAAATAATTAATATTAAAAAAAAATATATAGTAATTTTTTTTTAATTTTTTTTTATTAAAGGTGCTAATAGGGCAAGATTAATTGAGATAGAAGACTGCATTAGCTGACCTTTAAATTATGCGAAAACACCACTACTCTTTTAAATTTCTATACTTTTTATGTTGGATGACTGGGAATAGAACGTATTGATAGTCAAGAAAAGATTCTGCCATGGTTATTTCCGCCATAAAGCAGTATTGCGTTCTATTTTTACTTTATGGTGGATGGCGTCATTCAAGGTGTGATATCTATGGTCTGTAACAATTACTTAGCTACAAGGCTTGGAAGTTCCCCAATAAAGATACCTACTAAAATAACTATAAAACACATTTTCATTCAAGCAATCATAGTCTTTATCTAAAATAGCTGTGTTATTCATTCATGTAAATTATAACATTAACTAATTATAAAATATACTAGAATTTCAAGAATAACTTTATATGGCTTTAATATTTTCACAGTGCACTTAAAAATTAAAACAACATGAATTGTTTAATATTTCTTACATACTCTATCATACACAACAATTTAACGGTATTTATTTATCCTTAACGGTATTTTGCATACTTTTTGTATTAATCTCTTCTTCTTTCCCTTCTTAATAAACTTTACATTGCAAAGCGTTACGCACAAAAAAATATTGTTGCGTTTGTCTGTTAATGTTACAATATGTGTTATTTATTCGTAGAATATGTGTCAAGAAGTGTGAATGTCTTATAATTTGACCTATTATTAAAGACAATATTACAAGGAAAAAAATCGATTAAATGTTGGGTGTATACACTAAATGCAATGACCAAACGATTTCGTGAATGAGAGGTTCTCCCAGAACATCAATTACAGATTTCAAAAAAAAGCAAGTACTTTTGGCTTTATGACTAGTTTTCTTTGCCTATATGTATGAACAACAAAATGTCAAATTACGAAATATGTCACACAGAAATAACAAATCGGTGAAATGGTATTAAATATTTTACAGGATATTTTTAGAACATCGATTGTGCTCTTTTAATTACTATTTGAATTAAAGTACTCACTTCATGTGACTTAATCATTAGCAATGGCAGACGACGATGGTAAGTTATAGTAAACATAACCTTACTAACATAACAATAGTTTTTAAGATCTACTAAATAAATAAATATAATTACTCGCTAAAACTTGACAAACGTTTTCATGGTGCATCACAATGACTGGAGGTCTTATCGTACAAGTCTCAACATCTTACTGTTAATAAATAAACAAAACTTGAATGCACTTACTACCATTATTTTCAAATACTTTAAACCGATCTTTAATCCCTCCTTAGCTATTATTTACCACAACTATTACTTTAATGTTCATTAAAAAAAGTAGCTGCATGGGCAACCTATAGGATAAACTGGTAAACAAAAAATATAAAAAGAACTATTTGCAATGTTTTTAGGTTGCCAAAGTATGATATTTAAACCAAAATCTCTATATCCCTCAACTGGAATAGCTAACTTCGATATGAATTAAAAATACTTACAGCAAATTTTATTTTTCAGTGCCCTCCGACAGCAGTCTCCTCGTGGTAATAGTGGACACCAATCCCAATCAAAGATACATAATAGAGGACCCCAAAATGCTCACAAACGTCTTGGATGCTGTAGTAGCATTTAGTAACTCCCATTTAATGCAGAAAGCTAGTAATGAACTTGCAGTAATAGGCTGTCATTTTCATAAAAGGTAATTAATGAGATTTTAAAATAACATAATTTTAAAGAAAAGCAAAAGAATACTGACTTCAATAAAATAAAATGCAAATGTTGCCAATGTAATCGATGTCAACGAAATATATACATTACTCAGGATAAGTCAAAAACACTGAGTCAAAAACATCTGAATTGGTTCGCCTACAAATTTATTTAAGTAACACACATAAAAAAAAAAAAAAAAATGTTAACCTCCCCCTTTTATTGAATTTTCTTAAAAATAGCAGTAATTTTTAATGTACTTGATAGGTCAGAACATTGCACAACCCACCTAATGTTAAAAGGTTATGAGAGCCCACACAATCAGAATGTGAACAATATATATATCCTGAAATCTAATGTCAAAGTGAATATAGTCTCATATTCTAAAACTAAAAAAATATTGTCGAATTAATTTCACGCTATTGTTCATATTCAAATAACATTCAATTTCTGATTTTATTTATAGTGTCTCTCAATTGACAAAGAGCCAAATACGAATAACATTTTAATCTATGGGCCTCTAAAATCAATTAAATACAATTATATTAAACAAAATTAAATGAGACTTAACACTTATTTCAGTGAATACCTGTATCCAAGTCCTGGTAAACCTCTCGATGTAAGACAAATAGATGGACAGTATGAATTATTCACATTAGTTGAGAAGACCATCAAAATGAGGTAAATTTGTAAATGAAACTATTTTTCTTATTTTTGTTTTCTTATTCCGAAGATACTTCCATATAAGATAAAAAAATCAAAAAAGCCAACATCACGTGGTGTTCCCAGGCGGTCACCCATCCAAGTACTGACCACGCCCGACGTTGCTTGACTTCGGTGATCGGACGAGAACCGGTGTATTCAACGTGGTATGGACGTTGGCAATATAGTGTATGAAATAAAAGTTATCTTTAAATTCACTACAATTACATTTAAAATTCATATCTATAATACAGAAAAAGACTATACCTACAATAAGAAAAAAAAAGTTATTCCCAAGGCAAATAATTTAAATTTCTATTAAACGCGAGTTAAACCACATGTAAATGATAGTCAAATTTTCGTTCTTTCCGTTTTATACTTTTATATTTAATGTATCGCAGTATGTACAGTGCCTAATTTTATTTTTCTTCATAAGTTGATCACTATACAAATTACAAGTAGAAAATTGCCCATTTCTGTTTCTGAACATAGGTACATAGAAACTTTTTCATTTATTTATTTAAAATTTCCTCTAGTCTTTCAAAATGCACCAAAGGAAAACACTCCGTTAATGAGGCATTAATGAAACAAAAATATATTCAAAACACGCTGTTCAAATTTATCGATATTTGAATTATTGAAATTTATTGACTTTTCTTTACAAACAAATTAAGACTAGTTAGAATAGTAGTAAGATTAATATAACTATTTTTTACTGTTAAATCTCGCATCTTTTATTTTTATTTAATTTTTTTCCCGTATTATGAATACCTTACGATTTTCTTAGACGCAGACCTCTGAGTCTAAGCACAAACAAAAATATAAAGGTAAAATTAAACCTTAAAAATAGTGTTTAGTGTCTTCGGCTGACGAAAATCGGAGAAAATACTACATGAGACGTTATTCTTATTGGCCTCTGATTCAAATTTCAGATTAGTCAATTTAATCAAAAGTCAACCGCAAGAAGAGAAACCCGGAGAATCATTGCTGGCTGGCGCTTTGGCACTGGGACTCTGTTTTATTGCCAGAGTAAGTAATCATTTCTGACAGTTTAACAAAGACAGGCAGATAGTAACTGCCTAACGGCAATAGATATCCAAAACATAATGCCTAGAGTCTCTGATCTGGAAACACTCGCAAATCTCATGCATCGATGTTCGGATTTGAAACGCTAAGGTTTTAATAAAGGAATTAATTTTATAATTAAATTTGAATTATTATTTGTGGTTACAATTTTCCACACTTAAAGAAAATATAGAGAAGAAATGCAGAATGTTAATATTTGTTTCAAATTATGCATAAAAAATACATTCAATCAATAAAAAAAAACATTACACACACGTTATCATGTATTTGACACAAAACACGTATACAGTGTTTCCCAGAAAGAATCGTCGCCCATGGACTTCAGCAATGCCAGGGGCACAGCCAAGCCGCTCCCTATCGTGTCAAACTTTTGTTATTATTTAAAGTCTGTGGTCAAATTGAGAATACATTAGTATTGTTTGTCTTTAATATTATTTGTTTATAGAGTAGTCTTGGCGAAATCTGTGATCATAGAATTGACAATAGAACCATAATAATGTTCAAACTTATAATTTTAATTAACTATAGTCAAATTTCGACTACTGGGGGATCTTTCTTTTTCCTACCTAAGCTGGTAGCCTTGAGAGGCTATTCCAGCGTAACCCTAACTAGTAGGTGAGCTCACGGGGCTCAAACCTGATGACGTTGCTAACACGAACCCTAGCAAGAGCCGTGCTTCGCAGAATCTACCACCGCATCGGAAACGCGACCCACTGAGAAGATCCGGCGAGAAACTCAGTGGGCTGTGTCTGGGAGTTAATTTACTCGTCGAGCCCTTCGTCGCAAGCGACGGGTTCGACGAGAACGGTGACCGGTGCTTGAAGTACCTAAAAGCACCGTTAGTGGATCGGGAGGATCCGAGATGACGTGTTTTGGGCGACGTCGACTGCTTTCCATTCTGTCNTTCGTCGCAAGCGACGGGTTCGACGAGAACGGTGACCGGTGCTTGAAGTACCTAAAAGCACCGTTAGTGGATCGGGAGGATCCGAGATGACGTGTTTTGGGCGACGTCGACTGCTTTCCATTCTGTCCGCAGGATCGGGAATGTAGTTACCGGCGACCACGATGAGAGGGTTCTCGTGTCGTGCCGCTTTATCGAAGTGGGGGGGACCACTAGTGTATATTCATTTCAGTCTCGACGTAGTGCCATTCCGGGTTTAAGGACTAGCAGCCGTATCCTCGTGGTCACGGGCAGCGCCGACACCGCTGCGCAGTACATCAACTACATGAACGTGTTCTTCACCGCACAGGTTGGCTACTTTTTTTTCTTAAGGGATTTTGTGACCTGGTAACTAAGACCTTTAAGTCATGTATTATTTTAATTTATATTCTTAATTTATGAAAAATTATAATATGGAGTGAAATTAAATGAAATAAAGATGATTAATTTGAGACATCAACTGGGATGAAATTAAATGAAATGAGATGATATAGGATGAAATATAATCTCAGTAAAATGGTGGTCATTTACTGATATTTTTTCAGTGGACTTTTTGGAGGATCCCCAGAAGTTACGTCCAGCCGCTTTTTTGACATTTGTGCACTTTCACAGATATTAAACAGTTAATAAACCACCGTTATTACACAATTTAACCTGAAGAAACACTAAATAGACAAAATAAAACAACTTCACTCCTCGCGTTATCGCCAAAAAGTGACAGGTCACCTACAAAATATCTACTAACATACCTGTTGTTGAAGTGAAACTTCTAATGCGACTTCCAACAAGGTTGCATTAAACGTTTAACGCTACCGTTGAATAGAAAGAGACAGAGCGAGAGTGAATGCGTGGCACTCGAGCGCATGCGCGTATAGTAATCGGCAAACTTCTTGAGCAAATGACCTTGACTGCGCAGAACCGAGTTTTAGGTCACTTTGGTGGTGAGGGTGAGGCGCGGGGGCAGGGGAAATCGTATCGAGCGCGTTATTGGTAGATCAGTCGAACCTTGCGTCCCGCACCGCGCCCTCATTCCGCTTGCTCCCAAAAGTACGCTTGCGTACAGTGGAAAGTCTATCGTTATTAATCGTTAAGTTATTTGTTATAATTGCTTGTGGACTTTGTTGCCATTGCTATTTGTTGAGTGTTTGTTGATTTTTTATAAAACATACACTATGCCGTGACAAACTGGTGTAGTACTTAAAAGAAAGGGTAGAAAATTTGTGTACGACGTATATTGCTTCATTATAAAACAGGGGAAGAATGATATGGAAAAATTAAAACAGACTTCGGAAGCAACAAAAACATCAGTGAGTACTGTTAGGTGCATTATTAACGAAGCTAAAGGCTCTGGCTTGCTCGCCGTGTTTCGGACTCCGGGTAAGAAAAGATCAGGGAAGAAGAAAGTTACCGGAATGGATAGTTTCGTTCAATCTGTAATAAAAAGATGTAATCATAATAACTACATAACAAGCAGCGAAACTCCGTACCGTAGAAAGGCTTCGAAAAATTTAAAGAAGATATAAATTTTAATGGCTCGGAATGAAGCTTACGACGAATTATGAAAGAGCTAGGCTTCAGATGGAAAAAAAGAACAGAAAATAATCGGAAGCTGGTAAATGAAAAAAGTAACATTCGATTACTACGAATCGAATATCTTCAAAAAATAATTAATTATAGACAAAAAAGAAGACCGAATCGACCGAGTTGTAAACTACGCCGATGAGCCCTATGTCGACTCATCACGATGATAGCGACTCGGGTGATGAAAACAGTGATGATGATGATGGTCAAGATTATGATAACGAAAAAAAAATTACAAATACCAGCTTCGCTTTAACTGAACCAAGACCTGGCAACAGCTCTAGTTTTGACTTAATAGAAGGAATATCTATTTTACCCCAAGATTAAATTATTACAATTATTAACCTATATGTTTTGTTGATGTTCTAATAAATATATAAATAAATACATATGTTGATTTTAATAATTTAATAGCATTATGACGCAGAGTAAGTAATGTTTTTGCACGTGAGTGTACCATGCGCAAACTTACCCCCACTACGTCAACAAATGCTCAAGAAGTTTGCCGGTTATTATACTATACCTGTTACAGGCCAGCGCGAGCGTTAGCAACGAGTAGCGTCAAATATTGTAATGAAGTATTTAAAAAATATATACATATATTTATTTTTCTATCTATAATTTGACATATATGTAATATAAATGTTGAAGATGTCGCATCTCTTATACACAGCATTCCGTATTACAAGAGCAATCTGATCTAAGGATGAAAAATTAAGAAGACCACAATACTACACATCGAAAAAGAAGTTTCACTTCATTCACGTGCACCAAGTTGCACGCGCATCGTTTTTTTTAAAGTGCTTTAAAAATTTTGACCGATAACTTCTTTAAAACTTGGTCGCCGTATAACCACCACGGAACGAGGGCAGACGAGCTTACGGCTCTTCTAATGGTGAGTGGTTATCATCGCTCATCAGCGTCAGCAATGCCAAGGTCATACGACCAAGTCGCTGTCTACTTCTGAGCCTATACTCAGGTATATATAACTCCACAAGACTCGATTCGTGAAGGACATGTCGTACCGCTCAAGATACACCATGGGTAAGAAATTAGAATGCAGTATGAAGGGCCCAAAAAGACTTGGATGGACTTTATGAAAGGGGATATGCGAGAAAAAGGCGTAGGTGATGACGTATGACAGGCCTAAATGTAAAAATAGGACATATTACACCGACCCCGCTACATAATATGGGATGAGAGCAAGAAGAGCAAGTAAGCAAAAAAAAATAATAATAATAATAATTAAAAATAATAATAATATCATGACGAACAACTACCGGAAATATATACTAAAGGATGGGACGGTCGACATTTGTCGGGCATGCCACCGTCCGGGAGAGTCTATTAGACATATTGTTTCTGGCTGTTCTCGGTTTGCTAACGGCGAGTACTTGCATAGACATAACCAAGTGGCTAGGATTATCCATCAACAACTTGCTCTGAAATATGGTTTTCTTGATTCTGCTGTACCTTATTACCAATACCAACCTCAACCAGTTCTTGATAATGGTCATGTTACGCTCTACTGGGACCGATCTATTATCACGGATAGGTATATTGTTGCCAATAAACCTGATATTGTGATAATAGATCGATCTGCGCGTCGAGCAGTGTTGGTTGATGTCACCATTCCTCATGACGAGAACCTCGTGAAGGCAGAAAAGGACAAATTAATAAAATATTTAGACCTGGCCCACGAGACTACCGCCATGTGGCATGTTGATTCAACCATCATTGTTCCAATAGTTGTATCGGTACACGGCTTGATAGCGAAAAGTTTCGATCAACATCTTAAGAAACTTTCGTTATCCAGCTGGGTTAAGGGCCTAATACAGAAAGCAGTTATCCTCGATACTGCACGCATTGTGAGGAGGTTTCTCACTCTGGAGTCCTAACCACTGGTGGCTTGTGTCGTAGATACCGCCATCAGCGGCAATCTATTTTTATATAGTGTTTTTTAAAAATTGTATTTTTAATATCTTTTTAAAAAAATATTATGTAATTAATAAGATTTTAAATAAATATAAATAAATAATAATGAAATAACAAAATAAGTATTTAATGGCCGAGCGTTTCATTTTGAAGCGAAGTGGAAAGCCTATAGAGTTATTACAGAGCCAGCTAGTCAAAAAAGATCTCCGGAAGAAACGTACTATGGATGGACGGAGCGGTTCTTAGTAGTTTGGACGATATCTACTCCAACTACCGGGGGTTCTAGAATACAAATTCTCCAGTTCAGCTATTACATTTTTTTTTTTACTGCTTAGATGGGTGGACGAACTCACAGCCCACCTGGTGTTCAGTGATTACTGGAGCCCATAGACATCTATAACGTAAATGCGCCACCCACCTTGAGATATAAGTTCTAAGGTCTCAAGTATAGTTGCAACGGCTGCCCCGCCCTTCAAACCGAAACGCATTACTGCTTTACGGCAGAAATAGGCGGGGTGGTGGTACCTACCCGTGCGCACTCACAACAGGTCCTACCACCAGTAAAAATTTCTTAAACAACTAAGGTTGACACTTCCAGAAGGAGCAAGTCCTGATCGACGTGTGTTCTGTGGACAAGCATCTCAGTCTGCTGCAGCAGGGTTGCGACATCACGGGAGGCCTGTACCTGAAGATACCAAGCTTGGAGGGATTGCTACAGTACTTACTGGTCGGTCGATATTAACATAGCCTCTGGACATACGAATGTGCACTCAATTGACATACGATCAGAGATTGTTATCGCGTCTACGCATTTGTACGCATTTGTTGTATCACAACATCGATAGAGTGTTACTAGGATTTTTATTTATTACTACGTTTGTCGAAGGAAATTCGACCATATTCACTAATAACTTAAAACATAGTCTCATTAAATATCATTATAAAATAATAATGTTATTCTTATGTACTCTTAAGGCTGCAGTACTTACTGGTCGGTCGATATTGATATAGCCTCTGGACATACGAATGTGCACTCAATCGATATACGATCAGGGATTGTTATCGCGTGTACGCATTCTTTCGCAATTTGTTCCATCACCACAACGATAGAATTTTAAACGAATTTTTATTTGTTGAACGAAATTCGACCGTAACCACCGAAGATATAGTTTCATTTTACATATTTATAATAAAAAGAAAAGTCGGAAATCTTTTTCGCCATCAAACTTCTCTAAAGAGCTCCAGTGTGCTGCTCCTGCTCACTCTTCCTTTTATTTTTATTGCTGAGATAGGTGGACGAACTCACAGCCCACCCGGTGTTAAGTGGTTACTGGAATCCATAGACATCTACAACGCAAATGCCGCCACCCACCTTGAGAAAGGTCTCAGTATGGTTACAACGGCTGCCCCTCCCTTCAAACCGAAACGCATTACTGCTTCACGGCAGAAATAGGCAGGTTGGTGGTACCTACCTTTGCGGCCTCACAAGAGGTCCTACCACCAGTAATTACATAAATTATAATTTTGGGGGTTTTTATTTTTTACACGATGTTATTCCTTCACCGTGGAAGTCAATCGTGAACATTTGTTGAGTACGTATTTCATTAGAAAAATTTGAACCCACCTGAGATTCGAACACCGGCGCATCGCTCAACACGAATGCAACGGACGTCTTATCCGTTAGGCCACGACGACTTCACCTACCTACCCGTGCGGACTCACAAGAGGTCCTACCACCGGTAAGGTGTTAAGTACAATGCTGTTCCAGTGGGTGTTCCTGCCGGAAGCCAATGAGAGAAGTAAACTGGTACTGCCGGGGCGGGGCCGCGTGGACTACCGCGCTGCCTGCTTCTGCCACAGGGAACTGCTCACCATCGGCTACGTCTGTTCGGTTTGCTTGAGTGGTGAGTTTACTACTCTCAGGCACTTTGAAAAGGCGGCACGACATGGGAACCCTCTTGTCGTGGCCGCCGGAAACTACATACCCGATCCTGTAGACCAGTGGTCGGAGAACTTTTTTAATTATTACCCCAAAATATTTTTGTGTATGTTGATATTACCCCATGGCGAAGAACAAAAAATACCGAAATTTCTTCTTTTTGGCATCTTTCATATAATAATAGCCCTATAATAATTTTGACAAAATATATTATTTTTTCATTTCGTTTCATCTAGTTTGAAATCGCAACGATTCGAAATAAGTTTCACTTCAATATATACTTTTTACTCACAAAAGTTTCATTTTTACCCCCCAAAATTTCATTTTACCCCATTTGGGGTAATTTACCCCGGTTCCCCGACCGCTGCTGTAGACCGAATGGTAAACAGTCGACGTCGCCCAAAGCACGTCATCACGGATCCTCCCGATCCGTTAACGGTGCTTTTAGGTACCACAAGCACCGGTCACCGTTCTCGTCGAACCCGTCGCTTGCGACGAAGGGCTCGACGAGCGAATTAACCCATAGACACAGCCCGCAGTTTCACGCCGGATCTTCTCATTGGGTCGCGTTTCCAATCCGGTGGTAGATTCTGTGAAGCACTGCTCTTGCTATGGTCAGTGTTAGCATCACTCCGGTTTGAGCCCCGTGAGGTCACCTACTACTAGTTAAGGTTACGCTGAAATAGCCTCTCAAGGTTATCAGCTTAGGTAGGGAAAAAAACTCTCAGGTCACGGGGCCATGGCTTCAGTTGACGGTAGTTTAAAATCGCTCAATAATAATAACTGGAAACAAATAACGCACAGTCACACTGCCCCAATTTAAGATCCTCTGTGTGCTGGGTACCAGAGGCTAATAAACGTACTTATATGCCTACGTTGAAATATATACATATATAGATAATGAACACCCAAACAAAGAGCAAATAAACCTGCTCTTCGATCAATACTATTGTTGATCGAAGAGCCTGCTCATCAAAATGTTTGTCCGATGTGGGAATCGAACCCACGACCCTATGACCCTCGACCAGCCAGCTGCGACCCTCAGAGGCGCAATATAATCCACTAATCATCGAACACATAAATGAATGCCATGATCCCGGGCTGACTGAATATTACGGGTTGGATGTTAGAGGCAGAAAAATCTGTCTACCCTCTTATCCGTTCTTACTACCGCTCCTATACTCATGGCATAGGACTCTGAACTAATTAAAACTAAAATCCTAACTAAAATTATGTTATGTTTTCAGTTTTCTGCAAATTCAGCCCGATATGTACAACGTGTCAGTGAGTATACGTTTTTTTTTTTTTTATATAGATATATTTTTTAAATATAAAATTAACTTATATCGATATTGAGCTCATTTAATGCAAGTAGAAGCAAAGAGCAAGTGCAACTATCTAGGAATATTTCTACTAATATTTACCTAACTATTATAAAAGATTTTCTCGACTCCTATCTGGTATACGTATGAAGGTTTTTGTTAAATCTCCGCGGGAATTTCGAAAATTAAGTACTGGTTCTTATTTTAAAATTCTGTTAAATATTTTAAAAACGCCTTCCGTTTCCGGGACACGGTTAGCTTTACTGTCAGTTTTTTTTTATTGGCAACCCTACACATTAACCATAAGGAATAACCTCGGTTCCGATATTGCCGCAGTCCGTCATTATCGTATCGTCTTTGAGAAGGTTCACCTGTGCGAACCTATGACTAGGAAGTATACAAAAACAATTTTCTTTGATTAGCACGTCCGGCCTTGAATAAAAAACGTATCTCCAAAAAAGTCCGACTCTGATATGCGGATAAATCGAACCAACGGAATTACTCATTATCTTACGCGACATATCGTTCGAGGAAAGCTATGCCTTACATTGCGCAATCTGTTTATATACGAATAATTATTTTTTTACAGCACCGTCTTCAAAATAGGAGGACCACCTATCAAACCCAAGAAGAAGAAAATGAAAGTTTAAAATGACTTTTACCTGCTCTTAATATTCGTGAGCTTTTAATATTAATGTGTCCATATTGTGAAAATTGAACCGGCAATATTGTAAAAATTAAGTATTTACTGGTGATATGGCGTATTGTAAGTCCGCACGAGGAGATACCACAATTCGACATCTTTCTGCCGCTAAGCAATCCTGAGGTCCAATTTGAAGGACGATCTCGATGTCTTAAGATCAAGTGGACCATGAGCTCGTTCACATATCTATTCAATAAATAAACTATACTGATATCTTAGAACTTATATCTCAAGGTGAGTGGCTCATTTAAGTTGCAGATGTCTATGGGCTCCAGAAACCACTTAAGACCATGTTGGCTGTGAGCTCGTCCACCCATCTAAACAATAATAAAAAATAAAAATAAATTGGTTGTCTGTAAAGTCGATTTGCGGACGATAATTTTACGTGATAACATTAGTAGCAGAACTATTCGAACTGCTAACTCTGACGTCACGCGAGAAGGGAGATAAATGTGTCACGACCCCCGCTTAGGCCAATCGTGCCTCTGTTGCTTGTTCCGCGCTCTCGCTTGCACGCTCATGCGGAACGTGACACTTTTTCGTGCGTGCAGCCGGTGTTAATATATTTATAAGACGTCAAATATATTTATAAGACATCAAAAATATTAAAAAAGCAGGCTTGTTACTGTTGGCGCACTCCCACACTGAGATTACTCAATGTACATGTAAACCATTAATGTATCATTTAAAAAACATAATAAAACCAACGACTGATAATGATTATTTTATTTCCCTGCGTATATATAAGCATACATATATATAACGTTCTCTGTCTGTTAGCAAATCCCACCTCTCCTGGCTAAGCATTTGCTCGCCCAAATATCCTGGTGAAACTGGAAAGGCCTACGGGCCACCAGTAATCCTTCATTCATAAAAAAAAACCATAATATTAGCGAGAAATATCACCTGATCTGTAGAAGTGCTTCTCTTTGTCGTTAAACCTCTCAAAATGTCCTTATAACTTTCGAAAATCAATGCAACATTAACTATTAACAAAGGTCAAATAAACAATTGGTGACCGGCAGACTATCTCGCAGCCCCACTCGATACCAAGCGTTGACCAAAGCCCATAGATGAAACTTGAAAGTAGCCTACTTTTTTCCCCCCTACCTATGCTGATAGTCTTGAGAGGCTATTTCAGCTTCACCCCAACGTGTGTAGATGAGCTCACGGGGCTCAAACCGGAGTGTTGCTAGCACTGGCCCTAGCAAGAGCAGTGCTTCGCAGAATCTACCACCGGATCGGAAACACGACCCACTGAGAAGATCCGGCAAGAAACTCAGTGGGCAAGTAGCCTACAAAAGAAATGGAAGTATCACTTTTTTTTTATTACCCTTGTAGACAGACGAGCATACGGCCCACCTGATGGTGAGTGGTTTCCGTCGCCCATGGACTTCAGCAATGCCAGGGACAGAGCCAAGCCGCTGCCTACTTGCTCCATCGTAGAAGTCGGAAGTGAAAACGCGCGCTAAGTACAAGTAGGTACATAATTCATTAGAATAAATTGTAGCTGTTTGTGGGATTCGAACGCCAGTATAGTTGGCTAATCAACCTACTGCTTCTTTTGAGCAGAAAAAAAATATGACATCTATTAATTTGGAATCCGTTCCAAGTAATTTAAATTAATTACTAAGACAACAGAGTTTACCTCTTGCAGTAAATATGATTTATTTGGACACAGCCCATCAACAAATAATATTTCTTTGAAAACAACTGTGATCAACCTGGTGCATCAGAACTTACAAGGTTTGATGGGTAAAGAACTTGAAATTGATTTGTTCCTAGATTATAATAAAGTCAATGTTCTATGTGTTACTGAACATTGGCTTAAAAAATATGAATTAAATTGTAATTTTAAAAATCACCAGGTTGTAAGTTCCTTCTGCAGAGAGAATGCTATACGAGGTGGCTCACTGATCATTGTTAATAAAGATTATAAATGTAAGGAACGTAGAGACATTGTGAGCCTCTCTGTGGAACGGATTATTGAAATGGCATGTGTAGAGCTTGAGCGATTCATTGTTGTAAGTGTGTACAGGCCCCCGAATTCGTTATATGATTTTTTTGAAAATATAATGGAACGTGTTTTATTAAAGCTTTCTGTTTCTAATAAACATGTTTTTATTTGTGGTGATTTTAATATAAATTTATTAGAAAATACAAATGCCACTATTAGACTCAGAACATTGTTAAAATCATATAACCTTAGCAATCTATTTTCAGAGCCCACAAGAATAACTAGCACATCGGCAACCTGTATAGATAATATTTTCACAAATGTAAAACCTTTACATAAATGCATTATTAATCATTTAAGTTCAGACCACAGTGGACAATTCTTATCTTTTAAAATTAAATCTGTTTCAGATGTTAATAGTACAAGAAAGCTACCGTTTGTTCCTATTAATATTAGACGTTTGGAGAAGCTTAGAGGTAAAGTTTTGGCAAAAATTCCGAATGTTTGTTATAGTGAAGATCCTAATGTTCATTACATGGATTTATTTAATGTTATTAATTCTGAATTTAGTGCCATCTTTACTTCTAAAACTCTGATCTTACATAATAAAAGATCATTCAATGAATGGGCGACTGTTGGAATTCACAAAAGTAGGCAGAGATTATACGATCTCTATCATGAAAAATCATATAATCATAATAAGTCATTTCATGAGTATGTCTCTAAATATTCCAAGCTGTTTAAAAAAGTCTGTACATTGGCCAAGTCATTGCACTTAGGCAATCTTATAAAAAATGCACCTGACAAAATTAAAATGACTTGGAATATCATTAATAGGGAGACTGGGAATGTCAGAAACAGCAATGCTGAATTAACTTTAAAAATCAATAATCGAATAATAACTTCTCATCAAGAAGTGGCCAGTGCCTTTGAGCACTACTTTGCTGATATCCCAGCTTCTACCACAAAATCTTTAATTTCATCTCCTACCGTCGCCGAATCATTACTGCAAAATCATGTTGATAAATGCAGTGTTAACTTTAAGTTCACAAATATTGATATAAAGGACATAATTGATACTTTCAAGCTCATTAATATTAAGAAAACTGGTGATTTATGGGGAATTTCAATTAATGTTATAAAATCCATTATTGATATAATTGCACCTTACCTTGCTACAATATTTAATGACTGTATTGATGGTGGTGTGTTTCCTGATCTAATGAAATATAGTAAAATAATACCTTTATTTAAATCTGGTAGTACTTTTGACCCCTCTAACTTTAGGCCCATTTCAGTACTACCTACATTGAGTAAAATTTTTGAAAAAATTATTCTGGAACAACTTTTGAACCACTTCAATTCCAATAACCTGCTTCATAACAAACAATATGGATTCACTAGAGGTCGGTCAACTATTGATGCAGGTGTAGATCTCATTAAAAATATTTTTCAGGCTTGGGAAGAGTCGCATAATGCCCTTGGGGTTTTCTGCGACTTATCTAAAGCTTTTGATTGTGTTGAGCATAATACATTGTTGAGGAAATTACACCATTATGGTATTAGGGGCGTTTCATTAGAACTTATTAAATCTTATTTATCCGGAAGAATCCAAAAGGTAGACGTTAAAGGAACCAGATCTTCCGGTGTCTTACTTAATATGGGTGTTCCTCAGGGTTCCATATTGGGTCCCTTCCTATTTCTTGTATATATCAATGATTTACCTAAGTTTATTGAAACCCGTCACGAGGTCGTATTATTCGCTGATGATACATCATTATTGTTTAAAATTAAACGACATTTGGAAGATTATGACGATGTGAATGATGCTATCTCGCGCGTGGTACATTGGTTTAGTGTTAATAATCTGTTATTAAATAACAAAAAAACAAAATGTATAAAATTTACCACACCTAATGTTAGACAAGTTGACACTAATATTACTGTAAGTGGAGAGACACTGGAGCTTGTGGATTCGACAGTTTTTCTTGGTATAACAGTTGATTCCAAGCTGCAGTGGGGTCCTCACATATGCAAGTTAGCGAGTAGGCTTAGTTCTGCAGCGTTTGCGGTAAAAAAAATACGAATGTATATTAATGAAGATACGGCACGCCTGGTTTATTTTAGTTATTTTCATAGTGTTATGTCCTATGGCATTTTGCTATGGGGCAATGCTGCCGATGTCGAAACGATTTTCATCCTGCAGAAGAGGGCTATTCGTGCTATTTATAATATGCACCCGAGGGAATCCTTGAGGGACAAGTTTAAGGAAATCAAAATTCTAACTTTAGCGTCCCAATACATTTTTGAAAATTTATTGTACGTGCGTAAAAACATTGAAGAATTCCCCAGAGTCTGCGATTTGCACAATGTGAACACTAGGAACAAACATAGGCTTGCGTTGCCGGCGGCTCGAATTAAGAAAATAAGCAACTCTTTTAGGGGGCTGGGTGTACAGCTTTTCAACAAGATCCCACTAAACGTTCAACTACTACCTGTTCATAGATTTAAGAAAACTGTTAAGGAACGTTTGTGCAACAAGGCATATTATAAAGTTAAGGATTATTTACTAGATGGCACTACGTGGGAATGAGGCGCTCGCTCCTGGCCTTTTCATTTTTCATTATTATTATTATTTTTTTTAATTGTATTTTTTTGACTTGTTTTTTCTTTTATTGTGAATATTTCTATTTATTTAAAAAAAAGAAAATATTTGAGAAAAAACAAAAAAAAAAGCCCGCTGAGTTTGTTTCGCCGGTTCTTCTCAGGACTGTGGCTTTTTTTGGAACCGGTGGTAGAGTTAACATTGTTATTTGTATTTTGACATTCAACAAGTGTGTCATACTGACATCTAAGTTGAAATAAATGATTTTGAATTTGAGTCGTATCGCTCGATACCAGTGCACCGGGCGTCTTATCGTTTAGACCACGGAGACCTATTTAATCTAAGGAAATTAATATTGAACCGTATTCCTAAATTTTTCTTTCAACAAATCACAGATATTTCTAGAAGAAATCTATTTATCTATATCTATATACATAGAGAAAAATCAGTAATTTATTGAAAGAAAAATTAAGCAATACGATTCATTAGTAATTCTACTTAGTCAAACTACTAAAGTCTACTTAGCTGGCTTTGCCACTTTCAATTTATTATTTTTTTCCTACCTAAGCTGGTAGCGTTGAGAGGCTATGCCAGCGTAACCGATCTAGTTCGCTCGAGTTTCTAACACTGGCCCTAGCAAGAGCAGTGCTTCGTAGAATCTACCACCGGATCGGGAACGCGACCCACTGAGAAGATCCGGCGAGAAACTTGGTGACCACTTTCAATGAACCCGTTACATTTGTATCTATTCCATTTTGCCCGCGCGCTTACTAGATGACGTAAGGTAGGCGGTAAGGTAATGATTAGGTAATGATGGGCGCTGTATGGGCTAGAGACCATTTTAAGTCTACTGTAGACGATTCTTCATATTGAATTCCTTTAAGATTAATTTATTAGTAACTTTAATACTGACCAAAATGTTTGTTTTCTTTTGACAATAACGGAATTTGTTAATAAAAAATAAACGTTGATGCGATCGTATCTGAATGAAAGCACCCGACAAGCTAATTAATACAATATCAAATCTATCTATATGTGGATACAGATAAATGATAAAAAAAAGTCATTACTAAGAAAACATGAAGTAGCCGATAAAATGTGGCAGGAGTGACGTGTTTAGCGATAGGCGTCGATAAAAACATTGACATCACAGTATAATATCTGAAATTAAAAAGATACAACTTGTAATGTTAAGTAATATTTTTTATTTTTTTCGCCTTGTTACAAACAGCATTTTAGTTACTTAGATAATAGGGTATATGACAATTGTAGTGAAAAGAAAGTGCCAATCAATCAGTCTTTATTTAAACACAAATACAGATATATATTAAAATTTACTATAAATATATTACAATTTATATTACTGTTTTCTTTCTATTTACAATATTACTATCATGATTTCATATTATGTAATACTATAACAAACAACAAAAAAATGAAAAAGAAATTAATATTTTATGTTTTACAACAAGCTTATGATTGAGAAATTTATCTGCTCTGAAATTATTATACAATTAAAGCCAGTAAAACTTTATTATTTAGTAACGACAATTTTATTTTAACAAATCAGAGTTAACGAACTTTTACATTTGAATTAAAGCACTCTTACGATCAATATATCTAATTTTTGTTGAAAATGTGTCTGTATCTATTATCTGCATCTTTTAACTACATACCTACTTCATAGACCTAGACGTCTATACACAGACTTTTCTATACCAAAATATTCATATTTCTGTTTGCTCCGTTGACTATTGCATTGATTTAACTGGTTATATTATAATAGTACTAAATTATCATGTACAATCAAGTATTAGATATAAATATAGAGCTTAACTTAAGTATCCTTTTATTATGAACCTTTTTAGTGCCGAGCTTAATTTCACCTATTTGGCAGAAATTGCTAAAATCAAAGCATCAATGCTAAATTCACAGCAAAAAAACTTCGAGTGTTTATTTATAAATTTTATTAATTTATTTTAACTGTTATTCGTGCGCGCACTAAAAGACATTCGTACAGGTCGATACCTAATATTATAATCAAACACACACATTATTAGAGGATCGATCTATCGACGGTTCGCGTTCTAAGGGCCAAGGACTAATAACATAAATAAAACACTCCGAATGATTACATCGTTGGTAACAAGTTTTAATGTTCAATTATTAATAAATTATTAAATGTTTTTAGAACGTAGCTACTATTAACTACGTACCTACAAAGAAAAGGAAATAAAAATTAATCTATTTATAGTAAGCAAATAATCTTTCAAGATATCAGTGATATAAAATTATTGTACAGGAATTGATCTTTTTTGCAACATTGTTTATTATATTGATACGAAAAATATTTGTAAATGAGATTAAATTAATAACAAAAAAAAATCTCTATCGACTCCATTACACAGGAAAAACATTTATCCCACCCGTCAAAGAAGAACACAATGTAGATGCTTCGAAGTAAAATTAGGCAGGGCAGTGATTTCTACCATTGCGTTCTCAAAATATACCACCACTGAACCTTAATTTTCCGTTTTCTCTTACATACATTATTAAACCTATGTGATAAGTATGTGAATTTTTAATACGCTTTTGTTAGCTTCAGACGTATGTATGTTAGTATGTAACGGAATCTTTGAACATGATTTTGACCCCCTTCAGAACGTCGGATTAACTCGAAATTTGGTATAGGTACTTATTAAAACCACATTCCAAAGTCTCATGGTCTGTCAATTATTTCAAAAGCGCTGTCAATTTCTGTTTCAGGACATACTCCCGCGTCGTTAACATTACTCTGTTTGTTATCTTGAGTTTTCGTTTTATGAAAACGTTCTGTTTTAGTGTGAATGTAGTTGTTACTATCTGCACTTTTCCGTCTCTGATTCTTGTCAGTGCTTAAATCTGACGAAGCGATCTGCACGTGATACTCTCTAGACTTCGGTTTCTCGACGCATTGGTTACTCTGTGTGAGAACATGCAGCTTAAATACATTGGGACTTTTTGGCGGGAACGCGAGGAGTGCAGTTGTGTGATTTGTTTTATTTTGTCTATTTAGTGTTTCTTCGGGTTTAAATGTGTAATAATGGTGGTTTATTAACTGTTTAATATCTATGAAAGTGCACAAATGTGGGAAAATGAAACAAAGCTGCTGGACGTAACTTCTCGGGTTCCTCCAAAAAGTCCACTGAAAAAATCTCANCAAAGCTGCTGGACGTAACTTCTCGGGTTCCTCCAAAAAGTCCACTGAAAAAATCTCAGTAAATGACCACCATTTTACTGCGATTATATTTCATCCCATATCATCTCATTAAATTTCATCCCAGTTGATTAATGTCTCAAATCAATCATCTTCATTTCATTTCACTCCATATTATCATTTTTCATAAAATTAAGAATATAAATTAATAAAGACATGACTTAAAGGTCTTAGTTACCAGGTCATATTCTCTTAAAAAAAAATGTGTGCGTGTACTAGTGTACACACGTAAGAAGTGAAACATTAATGCTATCCCTACTCCGTTGGAGAAAGTGAAAGTACTCTTCGTCTGAACCAACCGTGGTAGGGGCAAGAAAAAGATGGCGCGTAACGGAAAAATGTGACGCGTAACCGAAAAACGTGACGGTAAATTTTTTTCCAACGCCGATAAGGAAGTTTCACTTCAAAAATTAAATACATTGAGCTAGCAGGTCGATCGTGACAGATAAATTTTATCATTAAAAATCATCATCAGATAAGATACAGTTCTCGTTACAGGACCAATAAAACAAAAAAAACTTCGTACCTTATTACATTACTGTACCTTGTTATATGTATTATTTAAACAAATATCTATACCNAAAAAATGTGTGCGTGTACTAGTGTACACACGTAAGAAGTGAAACATTAATGCTATCCCTACTCCGTTGGAGAAAGTGAAAGTACTCTTCGTCTGAACCAACCGTGGTAGGGGCAAGAAAAAGATGGCGCGTAACGGAAAAATGTGACGCGTAACCGAAAAACGTGACGGTAAATTTTTTTCCAACGCCGATAAGGAAGTTTCACTTCAAAAATTAAATACATTGAGCTAGCAGGTCGATCGTGACAGATAAATTTTATCATTAAAAATCATCATCAGATAAGATACAGTTCTCGTTACAGGACCAATAAAACAAAAAAAACTTCGTACCTTATTACATTACTGTACCTTGTTATATGTATTATTTAAACAAATATCTATACCCAATACATTCAATCAAACTATTTATATTCTGATAATGAAATACGTACTTAACAAATATTCACGATTGACTTTTACGGTGAAGGAATAACATCGTGTAATAAAAATCAAACCCGAAAACATTATAATTTGCGTAATTACTGATGGTAGGACCTCTTGTGAGTCCGCACGGGCAGGTACCACCACCTTGGCTATTTCTGCCGTGAAGCAGTAATGCGTTTCGGTTTGAAGGGTGGGGCACCCGTTGTAACTATACTGAGACCTTAGAACTTATATCTCAAGGTGGTTGGTGCATTTCGTTGTAGATGTCTATGGGCTCCAGTGACCACTTAACATCAGGTGGGCTGTGAGCTCGTCCACCCACCTAAGCAATAAAAAAAACAATCTAGTATATTCTAGTATTTCGGCCTGTCATTATCTGTTCAGTTTCAAAAGCATTATATTGCTTTGTAATAAAATAATCTACTTCATAAATATTTAAGTAACACTCACTTCACCGTACAGATCCAAAGATAGTGAATGCCGCTTTCTGTTTGCTTGCTTTAATCGTCCAGATCTGGATATAGACAGTTTTCGCCTTTCATCTAATGGCGGGAAATCAGTTTTGCCGTCTTCCGTTTCACCGTCGTACTTGGAGTGTTTCCGCTTTTCGCTCGGCGTAAAGAACGATTTGAGAAATTTTGCCATTTTTTATTTTCTCACGGTACTCGCTGCAGACTTTAGAAGCATCATTTATTTAGTTACGATCACATCTGGAAATTACTATAAAAATTAATTATGTATATATTCAGATTTAAAATGACAAAAAAATATTGTCAACTCTAAAAGCTCTCAAACAATAACCATTAAAGTCACATGTCCTTCTTCAAACGAGGCTTGTGGAGAGTATTAAACGGTAGGCAGCGGCTTGGCTCTGCCCCTGGCATTGCTGACGTCCATGAGCGACGGTGACCACTTATCACCAGGTGGGCCGTAGGCTCCTCTGCCTATACGGCAATAAAAAAAAATTGGTAGAAAGTGAACAAAGGAAAAAAAGATAAATTTCGAAATATAAGTTTACACAAAAAAAAAAGAGTAATGTAAGATTTTCCTACTGGTGGTTCTTACAGGTGGTAGGACCTCTTCCGAGTCCGCGCGGGTAGGTACCACCGCCCTACCTATTTCTGCCCTGAAGCAGTAATGCGTTTCGATCTGAAGGGTAGGGCAACCGTTGTAACTATCCTGAGATCTTAGAACTTGTATCTCAAGGTGGGTGGCGCATTTAAGTTGTAGATGTCTAGGTCCTCCAGTAACCACCTAACACCAGGTGGGCTGTAAACTCGTCCACCCATCTGAGCAATAAAAAAAACTTAAGAAGATGACGCTTTATGAAACGCTGCCGGCAAGAAGTGGAGGAAGTGGAAATGAACTGATCGCCGTTCTGGCTTGAAATGTAAGACAAGCCATGTCGAACGACCATGTAACTAACTGTCTAGGCAGTAACAAAGCAAGGTCATATAAACATAATTTATATATCGTATCAGTTCGTATCAACAATTTCCTACGGTTAGTTACTGATTACACTATTCTTTTTTTTATTTAGTATCAAAGCAATATACGTCCTGAAAAGGTAGTTTTTATATCTTTTCATAAAAGTATAATAGTTATCATATTTCGATGTAGCTACGTTTCAAATTGCAAATCGTTAGTATTTATTGCAGGTAGTGATTATACGGGAAATAACATTTCATGTCTTGTTGATAAAACCCTGAAACAGAGTGCTCTAGTTTTATCTAGAAACAGAGCGCACTAGTTTTTTCTGGTAGACCGAATTCGCCAGATCCTCGATAAGATCCTAAGATTAAGATTCGAAGTGGCGCTGGAGAAATCACAGTCATACCTTTTCACATGACTGGAGCCCACTTGATGACCGGAGGAGTCCGAGTCGGGGTCAGGGTTTCCGAGTTACGGTACCTCGGCCTCCGGAAAACTAGGCCCCCGACTGATGACGACGGTTGGCTCTTTGAGGCAGCTCTTGTCAAATGTCGAGGGGCCTGACAAGATGGTGAGCCGCTTTGACGTGAGCGTGGTGTGGTCCATGGCACTATACAAGGAAGGCGTCTCACCTTCCGGTTAACGCAAATGCTAATCAGCCATAAATGTTTCGGCCGATACCCGCACCGCGTCGCCCGAAGGGAATCGACGATGGTGTGCCACTACTGTGGCTGCGACAAGGACATGGCCGAGCGTACTGCACCGGGTGGGTAGGGCAGTGCCGTGTCTTCGTCTCACAAATAGGACCGGACTTGTCGCTGCCATCGGTCGTGGTTACGATTCTCGACAGCAACGATTCCTGGAGGGCGATGCTCGACTTCAACGGATCCACTATCTCGCAGAAGGAGGTGGCGGAATAAAAGAAGGAGAGCTCATCCCTCTCTGTACCGATCTGTCGCGGCCATGCCGGTCGAAAGCCCTTTTCCGGCCCCTGTAGGAGATGAACTCCCCCACGGTGAATCTTACGGGGTGACCTGCGGGGCGAGGCCAAGCGGCGCGCTATGCAATAGCAGTTCTATGGAACTCCTATGGAATAACCGGTTGGTGGTACATTGCTTTCTAACCCGGCCAGCTAGTTTTGGTCCAGCGGGTTATTTCGGGACATTAGCGACACCGTCTGGAGTGGCCTGACTGGCTGCCATATCAAGACGGCCAATGTAGAGTCGTCGACTATCGCCTCGATGATACGTCGGTCGGACGTCCTAGGGGTGACGTCGCAAGTCTGGTTGTAGTGTTTAACGCGGGAACCCCCTACTCTGACCGCGTTCTGACCCTAGGCGGAGATCGGACGTCGGAAAAGAGAGTACAAGGACAGTTATATGGTGGATAGGGCCCAAAACCATCCTTGCGGTCCGCCCGTCCTTGCCTCTGCAGTCTGCACCCAATATCTGCAGACTGTCAAGTCCCACATACCTCCCGTGTACCCTAGAGATCATGTATGAGGTTAGGTGCCATACACGAAAAAAGGCTTAATTCGGCGGGAACCTTACAGTAGAATAGCATGTTGAGCTCGAATTAAACCTCCTTCATCGGTTGATCCCGGACATTCAAATGAGGCAGAGCTTGAATTCGTAGAGCGCTAGTACAATCGAAGCAAGGCGCCATTTTTTTGTTTTTGGCTAATGCCCATGGCGTTGTCAATGTACCTAAGCAACGGTAATTACCTACATTTCATCGGATGGACAATAGACTACTCGTGTATCAATATGTACATATATACCTACTTGTAAAAGGATATTCTAGATTGGTAGCAGAACTTTTTGCAAAAACTGAACTTTTCTATTGCTTAAATGGGTGCTGTTAAGTAGTTACCAGAGCCCATAGACATTTACAACCCAAACGCCGCCCCGGCTTGAAACATTAGTTCTAAGGTCTCCATTTTTATAGTACAACAACTGCCCCACCCTTCAAACCGAAACGCATCAATGCTTCACGGCAGAAATAGGCAGGGTGGTGGTACCTAGCCGTGTGGACTCACAAGGATTCCTACCACCAGTAAAAAACTATTACTTCATTGATAAATTAACATTACAAATGTATCTCTTGCATCTTAAGTATTTTATGGTAAAACAATAAATCATTCTTTAAAATTTTTAAAACGTAAACAGTAATTAATTACCGAGTCTCATAATTTGGTTGTGATAGGCGAGTCATGCAACAACAAAAACCATTACTATTATGTATTAACTATTATATGCTTTGAAATTAATTAATGCAAATGCTAAATAAATTTTATATCCAGCACTCCTAACGCGAATACATCACTTGACTTTAACGCAAACACTAGAAATCCGAACACAATGCTCAGAAAACGGCCGATAAGAATGTTTATAATTCAATCGAACGACGTTTGAACCATTTGAAACACAATGCACCGACTAAACACATTTTACAGTAATTTCACCTGTAGATAAGATACATTATATACGATACATATAATCTATTGATAAGAAAACGATAATAACATAATTTTATCGTTAATGGGTCGAGTTAATGTAGTAATGAGATATTGAAAGCGCACCGTTCTAAATCGAGGTTTTTCGTTCATCGATAAAAAAAAGTTTATTTCGTTTCGCTAAAACATTGCTGCCCTTCGAATAAGAAAACATCATGATTTATAATAGTATAATATTAATAAAATAGCTTACTCTTAGTTTTTTTTATTTTTTATTGCTTAGTTTAAACTTTCCAGCTAAACTAATCAGTACACACGGTTATGTGCTCCTTGAACTAACCCACGGTAGAGTGAACTAACCCATAGACACAGCCTACCGAGCTTCGAGGACAGTTAGGTGAGCTTACGTTCTCAACCTGAGAGAATTTGCTAACACTAGCCCTGATAAGAGCAGTGCTTCGCAGAATCTACCACCGGATCGGAAACGCGACCCACTCAGAAGATCCGGCGAGAAACTCCGTGGACTGTGTCTGTGGGTTAATTCGCTCGTCGAGCCCTTCGTCGCAAGCGACGGGTTCGGTGAGGTGACCGGTGGTGCTTGAGGTACCTAAAAGCACCCTTAATGTATCGGGAGGATCCGTAATGACGTGTTTAGGGCGACGTCGACTGTTTACCATTCGGTCCACTGGATCGGCTATGTAATTACGGCCTCTGTTCTGTGAGCTTGTTCACGCATCTGAGGAATAAATAAATACATAGAAAAACCCAGAGTCCCGAACACCGTATATGTTTTAGTAATAATTAACCTTGTAAGGGAACCGAAATCAGAACCCAGAGAGCAACTACCAGTAAAATATGAAGAATAGAAATAAGGATCAGTGTATTAAAAATTGTCCGCTGAAAGGGAGGAAATTAAGTTATCGCCATAGTATCAAGTGGAAAGATTTATTTAAAACAGCGCCATCGACTACCACACTTTACTTACACTACACTAGCGCCATTTCGGTGAGTCTTCCAGCATTCTTTTTACTGTTTACAGATGGACACTTTTTCAACTTGTACCCCCTATACAAGATGGTGCTTCTTACTCCACTCTCCATACAGAAAAACGAAGTCATTAAGAGTTATTATCATAGATTATACCCTTGATATGTCATTGGTTCGTTTATATTATTATTTATTTAAAACTATTTTTATATATAAAAAAAACTATTAAAAAAAAGACATGCCCGCTGTCTCTTGCCAGGTCTTCTCAGGACGGAGGCTAGTTTTTTTAATTGGCGGTAGTTCTTTTTGACGTTCAACAAGTATGTACTTTCATTTATGTTGAATAAAAAAATTTGATTTGATTTGATTTGATTTGACAAATACGTTATTAGCTACAATATTAGAAAGACAGTTCTAGATCGCACACGGTACACAAGTTTTTTTTTAAAGATTTGATGCCCTGGGCACACGGCCCAATAAAACAACACAGCGAGACTCTATAAAAAATATTTTAATAACATTCAACGTACAATGCGCTGCGTAAAGTATTTTGTTTTATACAAACAAAACTAAACACAATGTTTATTTCAACATTACAAAAAGACTAGTAAATTAAAACAAAAAACACAGGCTGGCTGCTTCATTATTAAAAATTATTTAACTGGTATCTTTTTTTTTTAAATCCCGGTTCGTGTTTTGACCACTCTCTGATTGTTATGTACATTACAATTTCAAAATTAAACGCTAGTTAAAGCCGCTTTTTTTATTAAACCAAGTATAATTTGGTACTTTTACGTTACTTAATTCCAGAACAGATTAAAAAAAACGAATAACTAAATGGTTAATAGTTATTTCAACATAAAATAATGTTATTAAATATGAATTTAACCAATGACGCTAAAAAGATAAGCCTTTGCAGTAAATTTTGTGCACTGGCAAGAATACAATAAATCTTGCAGATTAAAAAACACTTATTAGTCTATGGCGATACTAATTAACGGATACTCCTTCATAATCGATAAACATTTTATTTATTTATTTCATGTATATTATTATATACAAGATTTTTTTTTACATTTTTATTATTTTATACTTCACATTTAAAGGCACTCCCATTATTTTATACAATTATTTATCTACTATACAATTATTGATTTAAGTTCGTTCATCGTTAACTTAGTTTAAGCAATTAATGTATTTAGGTAACATGTATTACAGAAAAATAGAACAAAGTCTAAAAAAAAACTGGAAAATATAAACAAAGATTAGATTTACAGTTTTACAGTACATACAATCATATTACTTCAACCATTAACGATAGTAACTGAATAATAGACAATTTAAAAATAACAGTGGTTATTCAAGGCTGTACGTCAAGATATACCAGGGCCAAATTGATTTTACAAAAAAAAAAGTATGCGAAATCTGAATGATGTTTGTACTAACAGCCTTATTTTTAACCCAAATATTATTTAATTCCAAGCTCGGTTTAAAAAACAATGGTGATGAGCAGTCCCCAATCTACGGAGATGTATCCTTCGCTAGCGCCGTATTTATCAATAATACTGATACAATGCTATAATTATTATATACCAGAATCCGCAGATTCCGGTGAAAATCAGCTCGTAGGGCACGTGTATTGTGGGCATAGATATTGGAAATGCGTTTTGGAAATATTAAATGTAGATAAATAACAGGTGTAATTTTTTGTCTCTTTAACTTCTAGGCGACGGTTTCACTGGTATCATTATTGAATTTATTCATCAATTATTAATACTCACTATTTGACTCGAATTTTTTAATGTGTCTCATTTTAGAAGTTTTTTTTTAAATATATTTTCTATGTACACTATGTATATATTATAATGTTTCATAAATACATTATTGCGTACGATAACTTCCGCTGTAAATTTTATTACATAAGTAAGAATAATAACTAATACTAAAATTTTATGGTCTATGCTCGCATCTCTGCATAGTACAACGTCGGTGTTGCCTGTTCTATAATTTTTTACAAGTTACCAATTTTAATCGTTCAAAAAAGCAACTTTTGGCACATAGACATTAATAATGCCATAGGTACTATTTTAGTTCAGCATTATTTATTTAACTACACTGTCATGGAAATTTGAGCAAAAGCGGATTTTCGATGAATTTAATATTCTTAGTCATCATTTTATAAATATTTAAAGAATTAATATTACTTAAACTTCGAAATAGTAATATCGTTTTTAAAGGCAAATAAATTTAGAAATAATGTTTTTGAATTAAAATTTATTCCAACTGATGAATTGGCTAACTGAATGTACTTTGAAGTTTTTATGCAACATGTAGTACATGTTCAAGACTACCAATTGACATCAAATTCTGACTGACTACATTTTTAATTTAAACGGGCGCGATGCAATGTTAAAATAGCTTGTAAACTTTAGGTGAATATGCTAGATTTTTTTCTTTAATCTATTCTTTCATGAATTATTGGAAGTTCTTATCCAAAACGTCGCCAGTAAGAAATATGCGAAGAAAATTGTACGTGCTAGCCTCGCTCAGTCGATGTTGTCGATGAGTTTTCTTATACTATGTAAATCGCAGAAAGAACAACTCTGAAACAATTTTACTAAGAAATCCTCAGTGCTGGTCCATTTTTGTATGAATAGACCTATTGATTCATGTTATCCGATTATTTTTACTAAAGCACCCCCCTTATTACGAAATGTACTTTAAAATTAAATATGAAAAAACTAATTGGATTTAAAAATAAAATCATTAAACGATTATCCAAAGTTATTTTTAATAAAAATTATCGTATTTTATAATTACCAAATTAAAGAAAACGACCTAACATTTTTAATATATACAAACAATTACGTACAAATCTTAAGCTGTAAGTCGTATTTTTATACACACATATATTCAGAACATATTACATAACGATTTCAAATAAATAATTTGGGAATTTTGAATTTTTTTTTTCTATACACCCCAAATTTATATTTCATCAAACAATACTTGATAACGATTAGTAAAATCGATTTTTTACACAATAATATATTCTGAAAAAAATAATCGAACAAAATATTATAATTCAATTCCATTACGCGACTAGTTTAGTTTCAAACGACTTGTTCGCTGTCGTCCCTACTGGAAACGGCATCGGTCGCTAGGGTTGTCGAATTCCTATATAATTTCAAATTAGATTCCGTGTAATCCAAAATCTTCCTACTGGAATGCCTCACGTACAACATTTGTTTGTGATATATTTTCAAGGCCCCTTTCAACGTGATGTAAGTTAAGCCTCCGAGCATTGTTCTGTGAAGGTTGTTCTGTATCGAACGGAAGAATATCTTTCCTATGATCGTCGATATCGTTGGTAGCAACAGAGCCGAACAGAATATCCTTGTCGGGGATAGATGGCTCGCGTTTGGGTTCTGTGGCGTCGTCTGACCGGCCACTATGGCGCGATCATTGTCCACGCTGCAATGAGGGAAATTTGTATTTTAAACTCTGTAATTTATATTTTAAACTAATTTTACTGGTGGTAGGACGTCTAATCCGCGCGGGTGGGTACCACCACCCTGCCTATTTCTGCCGTGACGCAGTAATACGTTTCGGTTTGAAGGCCGGGGCAGCCGTTGTAACCATACTTGAGACCTTAGAACTTATATCTCAAGGTGGGTGGCGCATTTACGTTGTAAATGTTTATGGGCTCCAATAACCACTTAACACCAGGTGGGCTGTGAGCTCGTCCAACCCATCTAACAATAAAAAATAACAAAACAATAACGTCGAATGACGGTTAGCTAATTTGGCAAATTCTAATGCAGCAGAATTAGGAATGTCTTCTCGAAACACACTATTTTTTCTGGCTGATAGCCTTGAGAGGCTATTTCAGCTTCGCCCTAGCGTGTAGGTGAGCTCTCGGGGCTCAAACTGGAGTGTTGCTAACACTGGCCCCAGCAGGAGCAGTGCTTCGCAGAATCTACCACCGGATCGGAAAGGCGACCCACTGAGAAGATCCGGCGAGAAACTCAGCGGGATGTGTCTATGGGTTAATACGAAACACACCCTAATTAGTGAGTAACACCAAACTAAGGTTTTTTCAAGAAAGGATATACGGTGGCCCGGAGGCCTTTCCAGTCTCACCAAGACAGGTGGGTTAGCAAGGGCTCAGCTAGTTGGGATGAGATTAGCTAACAGCCGCCCTAGCGCCTCCGAAGGAGACCTAACAGCTCAAGGGCAGCTGCTTCAACAATGTTCCAAACTAAGGTACGCTTAGCTAAGCTATGCTTATTTGTCGTGTTATGTTGTGTATCGCACCGTAATCGGACCCCTCAGAACAATAATAAAGTTGAACTATTTTGTCTTATAGAAAAAAAAAACTTCTCTGGTCACAATCACAAGTAACCAACAACGCAAACAACAGGTGCCGAAGATAGAACCCTTCCCATACGACATCTAAACCTATGAGCATATCGATAGTTCATATACTCACTTTCCGAAAGGCAGAATATAAGCCAAGACAGGTATCTTAGCGCAGTACTTCCTGAGGAACAGGAGAACGGAATCCTCCCAGTTATACATCTTCGCGCTGATGAGGGTCACTGGGATCGTGGGCAGTAGCACGAGTAAAACCAAGGGGTCCGCCGACTCCATCATCTCGAGACCTTCGCGATGGCCTACTACCTGGAATGGACAACTTTTAAAGTTAGATAAACTGTGTGCGATGTGTTACACCGGCTCCACACGTTGGCCCCAACGTTGCTACCAACGTTGAGCAGTTAAATTGGTGAAGTGTCCAGACGTTGGTTGTTATACTAGTTCCTTTCCGTCAGAGCCAACGTGAAAATGTGCGATACCGAAATTGAAATTGCTCTAACCGCTTTTACAGTACCGAGTGCGTATAATTTATATTTGTTATTGAAAAACAGAAAAACCCACGTCAAAAGAGATGGTGAATGACATCGCGACATGCAAACTCGACGCGTGTTGCAACAGGACTAAACAAAGCGCCAACATGTCACACATGTGGACGGATCGCGAACGTTGGCACAGATTCCTTTGATAAAACCGACACTTGACGACCAACTACCAACGGTCGCTCCAACGTTGGGGCCAATGCTATTTTCTAGATCCACACGTTGGGCGAGTGGCGTTGGGGCCTATGTTGAGGCCAACGTGTGGAGCCGGCGTTAGTGGTATATAATAGGTGTTAGGAGACCGCTTCCGAAAACGAAGACAGACGATAGTAAACAAAGTAAATTTTGGGGAGCGTGGTATCAGCGCCACGCCCGGGCGTTCATTGATCCGAGCATCAGCTGTTTTTGATTTTGTGTTTCATTGCTGGTTTTTTTAAAAGTAAAGTAATGTTGTTTTTTATGAATCTATCGTTTCATTTAGCTGTACTAACATGATGGAGCCTAAATAATGCTAATAAAACGATGTAATTTTTTTTTTAAATCAGGATCGTTTTTTTTTCTTCCCGTCGTCAAAATTGTCATTAGTAGTATCGTCTGTCTTCGTTTTCGGAAGCGGTCTCCTAACACCCAGTAGATTTTTTAAATATGGTAAAATTTTCGATTGCTGTTCCTATATAATTTTCCCGCTTATTTCCATCGCCAAGCATTTAATCATGCTTTTCGATTTCATGGGAAGAAAGTCGCTATTATTTCAATGCAAATGAAATTTCCATCTTATGCCACAGTACGCTTGGTGGCATTTACGTTACTATGGACATCATAGATTACCACATTTGCCCATCTAAAAAACCCAATAAAAATTTACAACCTTTTAATGAATTGGACAATTAGAAGTATTTAAAAATGACTAATAGCGAATAAATTAAAATACCAAATGAAAATAGTATTAGGATTTGACTGACAGCGAATATACACCATTCGTCTCTGACAAAACCTAATATAAAGTAAAATCGGATGGTAAAAGAACCAAAACAATCTCGACTCTTTTGTATCGTTACATTTACCAATTCGCGATGGTAAATACCAAAATTTACTGGTAAAGACTGGTTAGTCTTGATCAATATACGCGTTTTCACAGACACATAGTATGTAAACATAATTTTTTTTATGTTTGTCCTAGATACGTACCGTGGTTTACCATTCATGCTATTATGATGAAACTTTGTACATATTTTTTTAATTGTTGCTTTAATGGATGATCTAGCTCACAGCGCACCTGGTGTTAAGTGTTTACCGAAGACCGTTTACAACGTAAATATCGCCACACACCCCGAGACATGATCAAATATAATATTTTGTGTCAATTTGACGAAATTCGACAGTCTTCTACAGCAACTACCTTTTATTACGTAAATACATATTATTTTAACGTAATATATTTTATAACGTATATTATTATGATATAATAATATATTAATAAATTAAATTAAATTAAAAAATTACGTGCTTGTTTTGCCAGACTACAATGTAGCTTGTTTTTTTTAGCTTCGTTTTTTATCATCCATTCATAATAAGTTGCGTTATACACATTTAATAAAATTAACGCCAGATACGTCACATAACTAGTCATTCGTGGCCAATTTAATATAAAAAAAATTAATCTGCTTTTCCGAGTCGTGAACAATATTCAACTCTTTATGCTTTAATTTACCGCAGTGTGCTTAGTGCGAATTTTTTAACTTTTCGAACGCGTAAAAGTTAACTCAAATTTGTATGAAGTTGGAACAGCGCCCCTAGCGGCAAACGAAGGGAAGCTAAACAGTTTTCGTGGTCACGAAATCACGGCACACTTTCCCCGACTAGTGAGTGACTATACTGAGACTCAAATATTAGTGGCTATGACAAAGTAGTAAGTAAAAGTATATGGATTATTTATTTATTTATTTATTACACTTCATGTAAACTTTACATTGGCGGACTTAATGCCTAAGGCATTCTCTACCAGTCAACCAAAGGTAGTGCAGAGTAAATAGTGGTAGGTGCAATGAAATTTATATTAGGTAACGAATACATACAAAAAAGTATATCAACATATATACAAAATCACATATACATATACATACATACATACATACATATATACACACATACATACATATAATAGTTTATACAGTATTAAAATTAATTTATGGATTAATAATTTATTAATCCATAAATTCAATCAACACCCATGTGAATTGAAAATACAAAAAAATATATAGAACATTAATCAAAGTTAATAAAACAAATTTACAAATAACGTATACAAATACTGTTTTTTTTTTATAGCAAATCCGTAGATATCCCATTACGTCAAACTTTTCTTATCGAAACCGTAAATTCGAACGATACGTAACCTACCTGTACTAATTGTTTGATTAATATTCTATTTTTATTGGGCCAGATAACAAAAATGAATGCAAATTTTGATAAAACATACCTATACTGTATTATTTATTCATTCTTTTTCATAAATCAAACCAATATAAAGTACGTGAAAATCCTCGCCTCATCAAAATCCTCACCTACTATTCGATAAAATTTGTTACATACATACATTTTTACATATTCTATAACCCAACCTCCTTTGCTATTTTTTAAGAAAACTCATGTTTGATTAAACTCTTATAAGAATTAAAAACGTATATTTTTTTAGTACGTGTATTATTTCTAAATACAATAAACAATAAAATAAAAAATAGATAACATATTCTCGGATTTACCTGACTTTCGGTATGTATAGCCAAATGTGACAGCAAAGAACACTGCCTTAGCTATTGGTAAAATATATCCAAATAGTCAATTGTTTGAACAAAGACGGCATATACATACCTATATTATTCTAACTCAATTGAAACTTAGATCTAATAGATACAACCCACTGAGTTTCTCGCCGGATCTTCTCAGTGAGTTACGGTTCCGATCCGGTGGTAGAAGCACTGCTTTAGCTAGGTTAGCGTTAGCCATTCTCTAAATTGATCCCGAGAGCTACCGACAAATAGGTAGAGAAATAAAACATCTAATTTAATAACAAATGCCTTCATGAGTTTTATTATTATTTTTTTCCACCTGGTGTTAAGTGGTTACTGGAGCCCATAGACATCTACAACTTAAATCCGCCACCCACCTTGAGATACAAGTTCTAAGGTCTCAGTATAGTTACAACGGCTGCCCCACCCTTCAAACCCAAAACGCATTACTGCTTCACCGCAGAAATAAGCAGGGTGGTGGTACCTAACCGTGCGGGCTCACAAGAGGTCCTACCACCAGTAAAAGTGTTCCGTACAATAAACCTAAATCGAGTCACGAGAATATATTTCCACAAAGAAGTGCTAAACAGCTATAACGGACTGGTCTATATCCGAAATATTTACCACGTTCAAACAACTATCTTTACCGCTATAGATGTCGGTATGTTAATTAAATAGTCAACATTGAAATCACCGTAATGTCGGTCAACCTAAGCCATGGACATTGTTGTAAAAGGATTTAACGTTATTCAGTGAATTATTTCTGTAGGTAAATTGGCTGAGTAAGATCTTGAGTTACTAAAAGCTTCTCAAAGTATCTTCTTTAGTTTTCCCTAGTCGTAGACATAATTACAACTATTGTTAATATTCAATGTCGCACTTTTTTATAATTAGACGGTAGTTATAGTAACCGGCAAACTTCTTGAGCAAATGACCTTGACTGCGCAGAACCGAATTTTAGATCACTTTGGTGGTGAGGGTGAGGCGCGACGGCAGGGGAAATCGTATCGAGCGCTTTATTGGTAGATCAGTCGAACCTTGCGTCCCGCACCGCGCCTTCATTCCGCTTGCTCCCAAAAGTACGCTTGCGTACAGTGGAAAGTCTATCGTTATTAATCGTTAATTATTTGTTATAATTACTTCTGGACTTTGTTGCCATTGCTATTTGTTGAGTGTTTGTTGATTTTTTATAAAACATACACTATGCCGCGACAAACTGGTGTAGTATTCAAAAGAAAGGGTAGAAAAATTGTGTACGACGTATATTGCTTCATTATAAAACAGGGGAAGAAGGATATGGAAAAATTAAAACAAACTTCGGAAGTAACAAAACCATCAGTGAGTACTGTTAGGTGCATTATTAAGGAAGCTAAAGGCTCTGGCTTGCTCGCCGTGTTTCAGACTTTGGGTAAGAAAAGATCAGGGAAGAAGAAAGTTACCGGAATGGATAGTTTCGTTCAATCTGTAATAAAAATATGTAATCATAATAACTACATAACAAGCAGCGAAACTCCGTACCGTAGAAAGGCTTCGAAAAATTTAAAGAAGATATAAATTTTAATGGCTCGGAATGAAGCTTACGACGTATTATGAAAGAGCTAGGCTTTAGATGAAAAAAAAGAACAGAAAATAATCGGAAGCTGGTAATTGAAAAAAGGAACATTCGATTACTACGAATCGAATATCTTCAAAAAATAATTAATTATAGACAAAAAAGAAGATCGAACCGACCGAGTCGTAAACTACACCGATGAGCCCTATGTCGACTCATCACGATGATAGCGACTCGGGTGATGAAAACAGTGATGATGATGATGGTCAAGATTATGATAACGAAAAAAAAATTAAAAATACCAGCTTCGCTTCAACTGAATAAAGACCTGGCAACAGCTCTAGTTTTGACTTAATAGAAGGAATATCTATTTTACCTCAAGATTAAATTATTACAATTATTATAACCTATATGTTTTGTTGATGTTCTAATAAATATTAAATAAATACATATGTTCATTTTAATAATTTAATAGCATTATGACGCAGAGTAAGTAATGTTTTTGCACGTGATTGTACCATGCGCGAACTTACCCCCACTACGTCGACAAATGCTCAAGAAGTTTGCCGGCTATTATAACACAATATTCAAATGACGACGAATAACAAACACCTTAGTCGTCTGTAACCAAGAAAACTGTACAGTTTTAGATATAATCTAATGACAATAAAAATTAAACGCGAAATTAAACCGCAAAAGTAATAACAATATGTCAAGGGTTATCTTGTGTCATATGGGAGGGAGTTTTTGCTTCCTTTAAATAATTTAAGTTTGCGGTAAACCGACTTGTTTTTAAATGGCAAACGAAGCTCAGCGTTGCTGAACAAACAACCTGAACAAACACTGTTGCATTAGTTTTTTTTTCCCTACCTATGCTGATAGCCTTTAGAGGATATTTCAGCTTCTCCTTGACGTGTAGGTGAGCTCACGGGGCTCAAACCGAGCATGTTGCTAACACTGGCCCTAGCAAGAGCCGTGCTTCGCAGAATCTACCACCGGATCGGAAACGCGACCCACTGAGAAGATCCGGCGAGAAACTCAGTAGGCTGTGTCTATGGGTTAATTTACTCGTCGAGCCCTTCGTCGCAAGCGACGGGTTCGGCGAGGACGGTGACCGGAGCATTAGGATAATGACCATCCTACCTTTAGGCAAGCCGACCTGTGCGTTAGTTTCAATTTTTGCGAGCTTGCAACATGGTCTATCGGTGGCTAGAATTCCTTCTGGAAAATTGAAAATCGCCTAACATTGTAGGAATCTCTGCTAATAGCATAAATATAATGCGGTAAGTATTATTTATCCTAATCCACCCAATGATGAAATAATGGATTTCTATAAATATGGTGGTAGGAATCCTTGTGAGTCCGCGCGGGTACGTACCACCACCCTGCCTATTTCTGCTGTGAAGCAGTAATGCGTTTCGGTTTGAAGGGTGGGGCAGCCGTTGTAACTAACTATACTTTAGACCTTCGAACTTATATCTCAAGGTGGATGGCGCATTTACGTTGTAGATGTCTATGGGCTCCAGTAACCAATTAACACCATGTGGGCTGTAAACTCGTCTATCCATCTAAGCAATAAAAAATAAAATAAAACAAATTCGTATTATCTCTTACGATTGTGGACCATAAACCGTCATGAACAATGAAGAGAACAATACTAGTTGTTACTCTATTCACCAAATCTACTTTTCGTTTGACGCTTCTTTCGAACAAATCAATGAATTAATGAATTAGCCGTATATTTGTTTCCATCTACATAAACAAAAGATATCACACTTTGATGAAGAAAATTGAAAAACGTTCAAAATTTTCTGACGATATATTCTGAATACTAATTGTCCCTTGCTGATTATTCGTTCTATAAATCACATCACGTAGCCAATATCAGTAACAAACGAAACACTTACATTCCATAAAGAGATCAAACATCATTTAAATATATCAATACTAGCGACCCGCCCTCGCTTCGCTTCGGAAACATTAAAACACACATGAAACAAACAAAAAAAAAAAAATTTAAAAAAGTAGCCTATGTTCATCAGGGACAATGTCGGCTTCTAATGGAAAAAGAATTTTTCAAATCGGTCCAGTAGTTTCGGAGCCTATTCGAAACAAACAAACAAACAAATCTTTCCTCTTTATAATATTAGTATAGAGTAGCCTACAATAAATAACAGACCTTGAATTTTTATTTAAACTCTATTCGTATGAGTTCGAATTTTAATGGGTTCGCATACTTGTGAACTTACGTTATCGTGTCCCGTTCGTCTTTGAATACAAAAAAAATATTGAAAGATCTTTTTTTTGTGGTTTCACTATTTGAGGAATTGTTCGAGATGATACCGGCATCTCGTTTTTATCATCGCACCGCCCGCCACCGGAGTAGAGTTCATCCATACTACCTGGAGGAACTGCGGTTATCCACAGTGCGTTTCCAGAGGTATTTTTTGCCACGTACCATCCGGCTATGGAATGAGCTCCCCTCCACGGTGTTTCCCGAGCGCTATGACATGTCCTCCTTCAAACGAGGCTTGTGGAGAATATTAAGCGGTAGGCAGCGGCTTGGCTCTACCCCTGGCATTGCTGAAGTCCATGGGCGACGGTAACCACTCACCATCAGGTGGGCCGTATGCTCGTCTGCCTACAAGGGCAATAAAAAAAAAATTACGACCTAAACTAAGTTATCCTTGAACGAAGGTAAAAAAATTCTAAAATGTATTTTCAAGATTTTCATATAGATAATAATAATATTGCATCAAGTAGACCTTTTATAATCCGTGGTATATTATATGTGATAGAATTGGCTTCATAAACATGAACACCAATAAAACGCTATGAACATTTCACGACTGGAATTGAACCTTTTTTTGTTTATAAGCAATTATTGCCACCGATACCGCGAGTTTGGTTGCAAATCTGCCACAGACGCTTCCGCTACAAAGCTCTCACGGACGCTCGATTGAGAGTGCAGGGAGATCACTTAGTGGGTAGCTTTTGCAGACAAAAACTGTAATTCGCTTATTTACTTGTAATCGGGCTTATTGTCAGTAGAGCCTTTCAAACTTTCCAAGGAAAGCGAATTTCGAATATTTGGGAGAACACTACAATTATTCGAAACATAAAATCGATAATTCGATGTTCTTGCAACAATTGCTGTTTTACTTTTCGATTTATTGATGCGCGGCAGAAATAGGACAATGGCACAGATCCGCGTGTACTCGACTACTCTACTCTCTACTGACAATCATCTGCACTTCTAAACGTATACTTAAAAAAATCTATTGATAGCAATGTTTGGGATTTAATAACATTTTAAGATTATTATGACGACTAACCGTGACATAAGTACTGAATTTCGATGTACCAATTATTTCGGTATAGTTTCGATATTACTAAAGAACAAGATAAGAAACAACCACGAAAATGATAAACAATGATTGAGATATTTTATATATATAACACATCGCGAGCTATTGTATAAACCGTACATTTTTATGTCTGGACGTAATGAGGAGACCACCTTCTATCTACCTGTTAATTATCACATTTTAGTATGCCTGTCGTTTTTTTTTTCTCGCGTTCTGATTTAGAAATTTCATTATTCTTTTCTAATTACAGCGATTAGTAAACGAGCACTTGATTCACCTGATGGTGAGTGGTTACTTTCGCTCATGAAAAGCAGCAATGAAAAGGGCACAGTTAAGCTAGCGCTTACCGCTGAGAAACCTCGTTTGAAAGAAAACATGTTATCCAACCCCAGGAAATACCGTAGGAGCGGAGTTCAGTCAAAAGCTCGAAAGCACATAAACAAAAAATATGTCTGGCTGTGGTCACGTACTGTGTTCTAGGATGTTTGGCGGTGCGTACCTTACTTACATACAAATACGTATATATGAATAGCAGTACTCGCCCGCTTCGCTGGGCATTTAAAATTAACATTATTATTTATTGTCATTATTATTATTATTAGGGAGTCCAACACTCATATAAATATTAGCCTATCCATTAAGTAAATGTATTTTCTACATTGATACCAAGTTTCAAGTCAATCGGATGCATGGTTCAGTAGTTATAACCGAACATCCGTAAAAACCACTATAGATTTATATATTAGTATAGATTAGTATAGAAGTATAGATAATAATGTGTCGTACAAAAAAATCTTACGTGAACATACCTGCATGACAGTGACCGCTCCGTATGTAATGGCAATCCAATATATGGAGCCAAGTAGCACTCCACCAGCAATAAATGGACATATCTTGTGGGTGATCTCTTCCATAGCATCGAGCATGGCTACGAAGGCACCCATGGACGGAAACACGACAATGTATTCCGCTTTGCACTGAGGGCAGAGAACCTTGCGTGTGATGTTGCCCCGCTGCTTCTCATCGACCCACCTTTGGAGACATGACTGGTGAACCTACAAAAATACATTACAAGTTAATAGATTTTGTGGACAAATGAAAACTTCCAATCATTGAAAAAAATGTAAATTTTAATTACGTCACAGGCCAAACAAAAGAATACCAATTCCTATCTCGTGTTAACAAATTCTAAAGAAATGGTCAATAAATAGATGATTTTTAACCATATTATGCTTATATACACATTAGTGCTATCACCTGAAAAATGCTGTCATATTTTTTTTTATTGATTCTAATCTATCCTATAGACACGAGAGTCACGAGTTCTTTTAGCTGTCTATTTTACAGTACAACGCATTACTGCTTCACGGCAGAAATGGTCAGGGTGGTGGTACTTACTCGTGTGGTCTCATGAAAAGTACCACCAGTAATGACACAAATTATAATTTTTGCGGGAATCCTTCAACGTAGAAGTCATTCATGAATTTATTAAGTACGTATTTTATTTGAAAAATTGGTAACCGCCTGCGGGATTCGAACACCGGTACAGTGGCATCGCTCGATACAATATGCACTGGAAGTCTTTTCTCTTAGGCCACAACTTAGACAATAATAAGACAATTCACTGTTAATAAAAAACAAGTCTTGTAAGCTTATATCTAATTGTTATTTTATAAAATAGATGCTGTTTTAGCATTCTGTGGGCAAATGGCAAAAAACAGGGTTTTATTAATTTCATTATGTTTGCCTGACTGATGACCCATTTACGAAAGGAAGTCTTTTTTCATGTGAACATAAACTACGCCTGTGATGATCAGAGTAGTGTATCTCATCCCATATTAGCATTCCACTACCAACACTGAAGTTTTTTTTTTGTCATTTTAAGACCACAGATTTGTAGTTAACCTATGACTGACAAGAAATTTAGTTATGAAACCCTAAGAAATATGATAATATATGAAGAAAACAATGATTTTCAACAATGATTAAAAATCAAATTACATAGTTAGATTTCGTTAAACACAACAAACAAAAATGTGCATTTTATCAAAACTGGAACTTTTTCAAAATAATTTTATATTTGATTATTAAAAACAGTTGAATAGCAGTTGAACGAAGTACTTAATTGAGATAAAAAGTGTTGCATGAACTGAGGAAGAAAATTTAAAAATACAGCTAAAACATTTATAATTTGAATCTTTATAAAAAAAAAGTACATTCTAATTACAATTTAAAAAGAAATACATACATAATTTATAATATACTGTTAAAAGTGAGATCTTACATCTCATGTTTCAAGGTGTGTGGTGGCATTTACATTGTAGACGTCTATGGGCTCTGGTAACGACTTAACACCAGGTGGGCCGTGAGCTCGTCCACCCATCTAAGCAATAAATAAAAATAAAAAACTTAGATTTTAAGGTCAAGACGAAAGTATTAATATCAACTTTACCATACATCCATGAGCACAAAATCTGTGAAGTATTTGAAAAATCACAAATAATATAAATGGTATATTAAACCGTAACCTTAATTCCAATTATTTTTAATAATTGTTTAAACAGTATATTGAATAACAAAATTTTCTCTTTTTAATACAAAAAATAATGATTGATAATGATAGCTAACAAATGATTCATCTCAGTCATTGTGATAACCTTGAAAGAGCAATAAACTGACCTGAGTGTATGAGTTATTTACACCTGTAAGATTTTTGTTCTTGTGAAACATAAAACTACTTTGTTCCAAAAACATATTTTCATTAATGGTTTGTTAAAAATCTTTTCATGACCTGATTTTAAATATAATTAATTATAAGATTTTTTTAATGCCTAATTCAACTAACATGTTTATTTTAAAGTAGTTGTTTTCAACATGATCTATATATTAATACGTGAAGCAAAAACTTTGTATCCCTTTTTACGAAAATTGCGAGGATGAAGCAGTATGAAATTTTCCACACTTATAGAGAATATAGAGAAGAACTGCACAATGCTAATATTTTTTTAAAATAATGCATAAAAGATACATTAAATCAATAAAGAAAACATTACACACACTACATACCATGTATTTGACGCACACACGCATGCAAACTATTTATTGTCAAGCTTTGACCTTGATGTCTGTTGTCAAATTGAGAATAGATTAAATATTGTTTGTCTTTATAATATTTTTTTTATAGTGTAGCCTTGGCGAAATTTGTGATTATAGAAGTATAAAATACAATCATAATAGTGTAAAAACTTACAATTCCAATTAAGTATAGTCGAATTTTGACTACTGTGGGACCTCCAGTATTCATAAAATAACAATGAAATACAATTGTTTCAAATTAGTGTTTTCGATTCTGATTTATTTACATAACAATGTGATTAATTAAATTTTGTAAATGTTTTAGGCAAATGCTTTGTCTTGTTTGTGTCTGAGTGTGTGGTATGTAGTCCTTGTAATAGGTTTTGTACTCTTTTTTTGTTCTCTTTACTGGTGGTAGGACCACTTGTGAGTCCGCGCGGGTAGGTACCACCGCCCTGGATATTTCTGCCGTGAAGCAGTAATGCGTTTCGGTTTGAAGGGTGGGGCAGCCGTTGTAACTATACTGAGACTTTAGAACTTGTATCTCAAGGTGGGTGGCGCGTCTACGTTGTAGATGTCTATGGGCTCCAGTAACCACTTAACACCAGGTGGGCTGTGAGCTCGTCCAACCATATAAGAAATAAAAAACAAATTAAAAAAAATTGGGAAGATGCGTGTAGTAATAATAATAATGACAATAAACAGCTTATACAGAATAGATGTACTGAATTGCAGAGCTAGCAAAAGTCCAATAACAAAACAGAAAAATGCAAATTCCAATAGGGTACTTTTTGTTGGTATTAGGTACTATAAAAAAAAATTATTATGAAATATTTCAATTAAATAATACCAAATTAATAATATTCCACAATATTATATTATGTCCCCCGAGGGAGGAAAGACTTTTTCCTACCAATTCTAGTATCCTCCAGGGGTTATACTAGATTCGCCGGATTAGTTGGTGAGCTGAAACCTGACAATGTTGCTAACACTAACCCTAGCAAGAGCAGTGATTTGCAGAATCGACCACTGCATTGGAATCGTGACCCACTGAGAAGATCCAACGAGAAACTCAGTGGGCTGAGAAAAGACCCTCATTGAAACTTGTATTTATTGAGGAGATGGCCAACACTCGCAAAATGTTGTAATGGAAATAAATTTAGTTTATTGAAAACAGAATTTTTATTTTTAATTTGTAAATAGTCAATTCAAATTGTGATAAATAACCATCTTCATAACTTTTCAAAATAATTATGAATTGATAAACAATCAAATTGTAAATATGGAACAAGAGTCAATAATAACTGTTAGTGATAAAAATTAAAGGCATACATAATTACAATATTTACATGATAAGACTTCTTCCATGGAAACAATTATTAACAATCAATAAAAAAAAGAAATAATTCCCATAATGTGTAATAAAAATATGATAGAAAAATCACAATTAGATATTTTTCATTTAAAACTTCATAACAGATTTTGTTTTCCAAGACTTTTGGACATTTTTTCCAGGAAATAAACACAATTACATGGCCAACTACTGTTCTTTGAACAATAAATTACTTACCCATTTTGTTGTTCCGATACATTTACACGGTTGTACCCACGCCGCGAGTTTATCGTCTGCCTCTGTAGCGAAGCAAACCCAACAAGACTTGGCATTTTCATCTTCAGCTGGCTGCAAAGCTTGTGAACTACTAACGCTGGTTCCATGACACTCATTAGATTCACCCGACATTATGTTCTACACCGTTCCACCACAACAACAATATTTTTGCAGTTTTCTTTTTAAAGAAAGGTGCGTAGCCAATCTCAGGCAACGACGAATATAATGAAATGTAGTAGACTTATTTTTATAATATTCGGAAATATCCTTTTTATTATCACAGTTCAACAGCTGTTTCGCAAGGTTTTGAAATTGAAAATCATTTTGATTTCATTAAGTAGGTAGGTAGGTACATACCTATTGCTTTTACTTACATTTGACAAATAACAAGTGTGACCAGATTTTATTTGACGAATATACTGCTTGTGGAGGTTAAAATCTACTGAATTCTACCAAAAGAGAACGAGAAATACTAAAAATCTATAATACTTTTTTTGCTGTCGTGTTACAACGTAAAAAAATGAATTTTTCCTTGATAAAATAATAAAAATAACAAAGAAACCACCATTAATTCAAGAGAACAATGTTATTTTTTTAAATTAAATTCTAAAAAAAAATATAAAGAAAAAATGAAACTTAAACTTAAAATTCTTCGTCTCTAAGTTGGGTAACATTTTCATATAATTCATTAACTTGATAACACTTCTATCAGGATCAAATGTGTGACATCCTGCTTCCAACTGTCGTAGCCCCTCTTTTCCATGCGTTATTGCAGCAACATTCTTATTATTAAATCAATTTCGATCTTGATTTTTAATCCTATTTATATTAGAAATGATTCTTTCTACTTTGGCGTTTGACAAAGGTAATATCGTCATTTGTTTCACAAATCGGGACAAATTGCCATACCTTGGCTTGCTATTCGCATCACTAATTTGGCTGACTTCACTCCAAAATTTATCCATCATAATAGTTCAGACGTCGAACTAGAAGTTGACAATAAATTAGACACGGAAACATCTAATTTTAATTCCCTATATTCTTTGTCAACAATTTGTATGCTTACTGTTGCAACTACAAGGATATCCTGATGAATGGGACATCGCGACATCCTTGTGTATTATGTTTCATTTTAAGCTCGATTATAAAAATTCTCAATGAAGGAATTCTCACTAGTCTATCACACTATGCTAACGGCACGAATGGTAACGAAAAGAATGAAAATTAAATAGTTACAATCCATTCGATGAAAGAGGGAATACCCCGAATTTATCCATAATGCCAAAAAAGCACTAGAATAACTGCAAAGCGTAAATTCTACTAAAATATACCAAATAATTTTTACTTATTAAATTCTGTTGCCAGTACCTCAAAATCTACCAAAAAAGTAGAAATCTACTAAATCTGGTCACACCGCGATTAACACCATAGATAATACATACGAATAACACAATGACACTAGAATGCGAGATTGAGACAAATGACACTGGAAAAAAATGTGACAGTGACAATCAAATCACAAGCGGATGTTCATTTTTTTTCCTACCTATGCTGATAGCGTTGACAGGCTATTTCAGTTTCTCCTTGACGTGTAGGTGAGCTCACAGGGCTCAAGCCGGAGTGTTGCTAACACTGTCCTTAGCAAGAGCAGTGGTTCGCAGAATCTACCACCGGATCGGAAACGCGACCCACTGAGAAGATCCAGCGAGAAACTCAGTGGGCCGTGTCTATGGGTTAATCTACTCGTCGAGCCCTTCGAACCACAGGTTCGGCGAGGACGGTGACCGGTGGTTGAGGTACCTAAAAGCACAGTTAATGGATCGGGAGGATCCGTAATGACGTGCTTAGGGCGACGTCGACTGTTTACCATTCGGTTCACAGGATCGAGTATGTAATTCCCAGCGGCCACGACAAGAGGGTTTTCATGTTGTGCCGCGTTTTCAAAGTGGCGCAATTATGCCGACTGCAGATACTTACTGACTGAGTCAAGCTCTAGATCATCATGGAGACCCACGTTCCTTAGGAACCATGGTGCTCCGACGGCTATCCTGCCAAAACGGGATTGAATGACTTGAAGGGGTTTCAAGTTGATGCGGGTCGCGTGAGCGTATGCGGGGTGTATGCAAGTTTCATATGGAGACCTTATTTCGAGGGGAAAATTTACTTCTTCTGAAGATTTACTTCTTTAATTCTTCTTCTTACTATTTCTGAAGTCGTCGTGGCCTAACAGATAAGACGTCCAATGCATTCGTGCTGAGCGATGCACCGGTGTTCGAATCTCAGGCGTGTACCAATTTTTCTAATGAAATACGTACTCAACAAATGTTCACGATTGACTTCCACGGTGAAGGAATAACATCGTGTAATAAAAATCAAATCCGCAAAATTATAATTTGCGTAATTATTGGTGGTAAGACCTCTTGTGAGTCCGCGCGGGTGGGTACCACCGTCCTGCCTATTTCTGCCGTGAAGCAGTAATGCGTTTCGGTTTGAAGGGTGGGGTAGCCGTTGTAACTAAAACATGAGACCTTAAAACTTATATCTCGGGGTGGGTGGCGCATTTACGTTGTAGATGTCTATGGGCTCCAGTAACCACTTAACACCAGGTGGGCTGTGAGCTCGTCCACTGATCTAAGCAATAAAAAAAAAACTTCACTTGCAAATCATAGGATAGAGAATTTAATTGTTTTTATGATCGAACAATCACCAACAGTCTTTGAACAAACGATAATTGATCGAAATTAATTAATCTGAGCGATAAAAATAAAGATAGGTGTCCAGTAAAGGTTCCAACTTAAGGGTGATAAATTGTTTAATTAATTATAAATAAATAAAAGACGAATAAAACATTTTTACATTCGAACATTAATGAAGAAACAATGAAAAATAAAAAATCCGAAAATCAAAAAAAGTGGGGCCAAATTCAGTAAGCCCAGCTGTTGTGTAAAAAAGTAGTCTGTGTATAATCTTTGATAAGTTTTTTTTTTATGGGATTTTATGACCTGGTAACTAAGATGTTTAGGTCATGTCTTATTTTAATTTATATTCTTATTTTTATGAAAAATGATAATATGGAGTGAAATGAAATAAAATGAAGATGATTAATTTGAGAAATTAATCAACTGGGATGAAATTAAATGAAATGAGATAAGATGATATGGAATGAAATATAATCTCAAGAAAATGGTGGTCATTTACTGAAATATTTCAGTGCACTTTTTGGAGGATCCCGAGAAGTTACCTCCAGCGGCTTTGTTTCATTTTTAAACAGCAATTAAACAGTTAATAAACCACCGTTATTACACATTTAAGCCTGAAGAAACACTACATGGACAAAATAAAACAAATCACACTTCATTCCTGATAGGGTGGACTAGCGGCTATAGCAATTAATTAAAACGTAAATTAAATACTTGAAAACATTGTGTTGACTTGTATAAGAGAAAATATAATTCAGAATGACACCGCACATCAAAAGTAAAAGGAACATAATACAAATTCAAATATAGTGCATCATAGACAATTATACGTGGACAGCATCACGACCTTCCAACACCTTCTCCTGATGTTCACTCATGTTGCCGAGACACGTTTCTATACATGCATTAATCTTGCACAGTGTCTTTCAAATTTTACTTTTGACAATGGTTTTGTCATTACGTCAGCTAACTGAATTTCTGTGGGACAGTAGCTAATATTTATTAATCCATGCACGAAGTGTTCATGTATAAAATGGTACCGCACGTCTATGTGCTTAGACCTTTTGTTGAAGGATCCAGACTTCACAAGTTGAATCGAACTTTGGTTATCAACATGTAGATTTATTTTTATGTCCAAACCGGTTGTTTCCTGTAATAGAGATTTGAGATACAATGCCTCTTTGCAACAGTCTGCTGCGGCTATGTACTCGGCTTCAGTCGACGATAGCGCTACTATAGGCTGCCTCTTGGATGCCCATGATATTGGTCCATCGGCTATCATTAGCACGGAACCAGAAGTGCTTCTTCGCGTCAATGGGTCTCCAGCATAATCCGAGTCGCTGTAAGCATCGATGCTCTCTATCGGTTTGTTTCGTTTGAACAAAATGCCTTTATGTTTGGTTCCCACTAAATATTTGAATATTTTCTTCACTTTTGTAACGTCTTCTCTAGTGGGGTTTTCGACCTTCCTGCTAACTAGATTGACCGCTTGTGCGATATCTGGTCTGGTTCTGGTAGACAGGTACAGTAAACTTCCCGTTATTTCTTTCACTTATTAAACACGCATTAAAACAAATAATAAAACTATCTTCAAACAAGTGCTTAAGTAATTCAAATCAAACACAAAAATTAATATGAAATATTACTAAACAATTACGAGCGACTAGCGATTTTACAAAAGTTGCGAATAAAAAATTAAGTAAGTACTTGCGGGGAGCTACCGGCTGGCCGCATGAAAAATATAAACACAAATACCTATATTAAAATTCAGACGTACCATAGGTATAAAAATGTACCTAGCGGCCAGGACATACGGTTCAAAATCACTAGGAATAATTCCGTGTCGCTTGCTCATTTATTTTGCGTCGATCGGTCTGTCTCGCTCGCTCGGTTCCGTTCGTGTATTAAGCAACATTACACGACAAAGAAAGAAACATGTTGGGTGATAGTGTGATGTTTGTTTCCTTCGCGTAATGTGTGATGTTGCATTACATCGTAGAGTAATATTACCCGAGTAATATCACTCGCATTACTTACACATGTCTAATATGTTCATTATTTATCTTTCAAGAGATAATGTAGGTATACATTATAATAACATTTTGACACTGTCGAAATTATATTCCTAACATTAGTAAAATAACATTTTAATATTTTTTTTATAGGTTATGTATTGAAATTGTTGGAAAATTATTTCATGTTTTAGCTGGAAAACTATATGGAGAATTATATGCAATACAAGATAATGAGCTCCATTAAATGAATTCGAATGAAACCAAACTGTTTACCATCCAAATTCGATTGTCGGGCAGATAGAAAACGGAAAATTCACTCATAGTGAACCTCGGCCTGCATTTGTGAAACGGCAAAGACTCACTATTATCAAGGAAATTGAAGAGACGACTAAAAATGAGATGTGTCGTATTATTATACCTTTGCCATCTTGTAGTCAAGGTAGGTGTAACTGTCAATAATTAGTTACATCACGGAGTGCTCGCGTAATCAAATCAACAATATCAGAAAACACATAAGATATTAGTTAGCTTAGTGGAAGTAGCCAAAATGGGCAAGGTGGATCCTCAGTGTCCTATTACATAAGGTAGCTAGGAAGTTTTGTGAAATGGAAAAATGTATCAGCAGTGTAATATGCACTCTTACTTCTT